CAAAATAAAAACAATGATAGTGGGGTCAATGTTTTCTAAGTTAGGGGGAGGATGTCCAAAGTCATTTTTTATTTGCTTCAGTATATATATATATATATATAGTCTTGTTTAAATAACAAAGCAAAAACCAGGGGTGGGGGGTGGGGTGGGGGGTGGGGGGTCCAATCTCCCTAGCCACTGCCTGTCCCTGAATTAACAATCTATTTTGTGATTCCAATTAAACAGTAGATTTTTTCCCTTTTGACTAATTATACATATTTTGTTTCTTGTGTTTATATTATGTCTGTCTAGTGTCTATTTGTCTGCAGAAACTTTAAACTTGCCCATAAGTTTTAAGTGGGATGGGCTATACACATGGCTTCCACATTTCATAGGTTTATTTCTTGTGACAAAACCTTTTATTTTGACCTCTTGATCGCTTTACCTAGGATTTTTACACATTTTTACAAGAAAAATACCAAAAATACCTAAATTTTGATCAGTAGGTGCTAGGGCTTTCATGCTTAACAAGTGTATTCATTGTGAACTGTCAACAGGTATAAATATGTTTGACCTTAACCCTAGAGTTTGAACCACTTAAAAACAACTTTAACCCTGGCAATTAACTTTTGAACAGGAAGTACTAGGGATTACTTATTTCACATGTGTATTCCTTGTGACAAGACTTTCTTCTGATACCAACAATTTGAACCATTTGACCTTGACCTTTGAGTTTGACATATATTTGAGAAACTTCAACCTTCGCCATAGGCTTCCATACAGGGGCATCAGTGTTTCACAAACACATCTTGTCTTCATTATTATTTGGTGGTGTCTCCATATGAGGGAAAAATTCCCGAGAGAGATGTATTCACAACAAACAAACAAATTACTGAAGAAAATATAAAACATGAATATGTTGGTCATGCATATCTCTCCAAGAAAAAAACAGCTTTTCAAATACTGTAACCATATTGTAACCCTTTCAAAACACTCATTTGAGTTTTTCTGGTTTCCTTATCATATAACGTCTGTTGTGACGTGTCGTTCATCTGTTTGTCTGAAAACTTTTTACATTTTTAACTTCTCTAGAACCACTGGGCCAATTTTACCCAATTCATATAGAAATATGTACATTTGTATGTCAGACTGTCCATCTGTCTCAATAGATTTAATCTTGGTCATCACGGTCATATCTACTGAATGAGAAGAGACAAGGCATTCATATTAAACTTATGTACTAGTATTTACCTGTGAGAATGGCATGGTTTTTTTTTTACATGTGACCTAGAAGTTTGACCTACTAGCAAAAAAGAAAAATAGTTATAAATTCATCATTTTGAAAGAGAAAAGTTAGGGCATTCATATTATAATGCATGTATATTATTACCTGTGATAAGACCTTTCCAAATAAATCATGACTTTTAACTCTGTGATCTTGACCTTGAAGCCTAACCTATTTTTCAAAAATGTTGCATTTGCCTATAACTTTTTATTGAGAAGAGATATGACTCTCACATTTGACATGTACATTAATTACTCATAAGAATTCAAGATAATTCCCAGCATGCGATGCTTTTTTACTCCTTGACGTTGATGCTTTACCTAATTTTCAAAATATTTAACTCTCCTAAAAGATGATTAGACTTCTGAGTAATATTAAGGAGGACTTCAGGGAATACGGGGCTTTTTGCATAAAAAACGTAATTTTTCCACCCCCATTTGACCCCCCGGGGCAAAATCAAAATTCCGAAAACTTACTACATATCTACATATCACCACCAACCATCTCCCAAAAGAAGATTAGGCTACTGTGTAAAATGTAGGAGGAGTTCAGGGAAGACGGGGCTTTTTGCATAAAAAAACATAATTCAAAATCAAAATTCCGAAAACTTACTGCACATCTACATGACACCACCAACCAACTCCCAAAAGAAGATTAGACTACTGTGTAAAATGTAGGAGGAGTTCAGGGAAAACAGGGCTTTTTGCATAATAAACGGCATTTTTTGACCCCCATTTGACCCCCCGGGGAAAAATCAAAATTCCAAAACCTTACTGCATATCTCCATGACACCACCAACCAACTCCCAAAAGAAGATTAGACTACTGTGCAAAATGTAGGAGGAGTTCAGGGAATACAGGGCTTTTTGCATAAAAAATGAAGACGGGGCACATTACATGACACCACCAACCATCTCCCAAAAGAAAATCAAAAAATGTCACGGGGCTTTTTTAAAAAACGTAATTTTTCACCCATTTGACCCCCCGGGGCAAAAAAAATCAAAATTCCAAAACCTGTAAAACTGCACATCGTAATTTTTCATGACACCACCACTGCACCACATGACACCACCAACCATCTCCCAAAAGAAGATTAGACTACTGTGTAAAATGTAGGAGGAGTTCAGGGAAGACGGGGGCTTTTCCGCATAAAAATTCCAAAACCTTACTGCACATCTACATTTCCCTAAAGATGATTAGGCTACTGTCCCGGGGCTTTTTGCATAAAAAATGTCATTTTTCGACCCCCATTTGACCCCCCGGGGAAAAATCAAAATTCCAAAACCTTACTGCACATCTTCATGACACCACCAACCATCTCCAAAAAGATGACTAGGCTACTATGTAAAATGTAGGAGGAGTTCAGGGAAGAAATGTGTGACAGACGGACGGACGGACGGACGGATATGAGTAACAACAATATACCCGAACTTTCTTTAGAAAGTGCGGGTATAACGAACAGAAGTGGAAATATTCTTGACTTAATCTTGGAGTTTGACATACTTTAAAAAAAAAACCTAAGCTTGGTCATAAGTTTTGAATGCCATGTGGGGGAATATCCGTGTTTCACAAACACGCCTTCTCTTGTTTTTCATTCTTAATAAAGGAGATGAAAATATGAAATTTCAAGATTTAAACAGAATAAAAAAAAAATCTCCTCTAAGTTCAAAAACCAAGTTAAGTTCTTTATTCGTTGCAATTTTCTCTCACTATCATATATTAGTAGTTGTTGTCTCAGCATCAGAATCAAAGGCATGCATTCCATTTTTAGTCTCATTCAGAACTTCTGGACTGATTATTTTTACAGCACTAATAGTAGTGACGTATCAATCTCACACTTTTGAAGGTTAAAAATGTTCTTACATTCCTTAATTCAGTCAGGGTTCTGAATCATCACACTCACAAAGGCGGGTCATAATGTGCTCATATTAGCGCCTTCTGAAACTGATTGGCCTTTCTCTCGATAATTTTTCCAGGAACATTTTCAGTAATCTTTCGTGAACTTTTTTTCGCCCTTTGGTTTTCTCTTTATCTCGAGAACAGTATGTCTCAGATGCGTCGGTCTTGCAGGAAGTGGAAAACAGCTAATTCAGAGAATTCGTGTCCCCAGCTTAGGGAAAAAGTCGGATCCCCCTGACTGAATTTGTAGAATTATTAAATGTATACATGTATACTGAAGCAAATAAAATACATGTATGTCAATATGCATATAAAGATTTGATTGCTTATTCTTTATTATGTGTATAGAAGATCCTTTTTATATGGAATATTTATCTCACTGTAATGATGATATTATGAGTTTGTGCAAGCCAGACCTCATAAATTTTTCATTTCACATGCTATCATTTATTACAAAAAAGTATTTCGAAAAAAAAAATGGTACGTCCGGAATTCGATCCCGGCACCTCTCACATGTGAAGGGAGAGACATACCAATAGACCGCAGAACTGCTTGACATAAAAGAAAATTAAATGCTAAAAATGAAGTCACATACATGTATATCTTCACGTTCGATATTGTCAAAATTTTACACAATGCATGATGTCTAATTTAACCTTTATTAAACAGTTCTAATAGATGTAATAATATAAAGTCCGCCGAGAACCAGTTTTATACGTAATAACTCTCCTCATGCCCCTGTGCTAAAATAGCGACATGTAATACAATAAATACCAATAAAACAAACGGGGCCAGACATTTTGAGAGGGGTGAGAGAGGTTTTAGGGAGTTTTGGCATAAAATTACATTGCAAAAGCTCAAAATCCTCTTGAAATATCACTCAGAAGGGATTAGTGTTATACACAGACAGAATGTATAAATTTACGACCTTGAACTTTGACCTTTTGAGCCCAAATTCAATAGAGGTCTTTCTTGGGCCACAGGGAGTTGTTATGTAAAATCTCATTGAAAAAGCTCAAAGGGTTCTCGAGAAATCGCGCGGAAACGAAAGTGTTATAACAGATAGAATATGCAAAATTATGACCTTGATCTTTGATCTTTTGACCTCAAAATCAATAGGGTTCTTCTTTAGTCCATAGGGAGTTGATATGCAAAATTTCATTGCAAAAGCTCAAAGGGTTCTCGAGATATCCTGTGGAAACGAAAGCGTTACAGACAGACAGAATGACAGCTGGACGGACGGACAGACCCAAATTAATATCCCCCCTTTTCAAGCGGGGGACAATGAATGTTTTTTTTTCTTCAATTCAATTAATATCTGGAAGGGAGGCAGACAGAGGCTGATCAATAAAGGCTGTGTTCGTGCGTTTTTTTCTTCTTTGTCCAGTTAGGTTGCAACAAGATTCAGTAGGTATTTATGATACATACTCTGTATTTCATCTTCAGACAGTGTAGAATGACGGTGTTATTATAGGGAAAATTCCGACAGAGGAAGATCTTGTTTTCCCCCATGTTTTAAACTTTGTTATACTTGCGCCTTTGAATCATTAGTGGTTAAAATGCTTGTATGGTATGCCAGAGGACCTGGGTTCGAGTCCCGGTTGAAACTTGATTTTTCACCAAAACCACTAAAATATAAAGAGATTCGAAAGGATCATAAGCTAAAAGGCATACATATACTCTAGTATGTAGAAGACTTGGAGTAATAAAAATACTTACATGCTGTGTATAAAGCAAACACTATTTTGTGTTGTAAATCAAAGTATTTGATGATTTACAAAACATTAAATTTCTCGCAAAAAGCGTCATTATGGATTTTTCATGAAGGAGAAAAATGATAGATTTACTCCAAAATTTTATTCAAAATATGGATTTTACATTAGTAAAAATAAAAACATAAAAGGACCTTGGTACCAAAAATACGTATAGGGGTATAGAAAAACTGCTGACAAAGGTAAATAAACGTCAAAAAGGTGTTGCATCTTATGTAAGAACAATATGGATCAAAATTAACAATCTCTATGTATGGAATTTTAAATAACAGCATGTGCGCTTGGTGGATCCTCTCTACGAAATAAAAACAACAAACAGAAATACAGCAGACTTCAACAGAAACAACACTCTGTGTTTAAAATGTATGTACAAATTTCCCTCCCCTAGCTCCTTTTGTTATGACGTTTTGGTTTTTTGACATCATTTCGACGGTGGTGCTGTACATGATGACGTTTAAGGAGGTTTCTCATCTGTCGTTTCCGGTCACTGCTGTTAAATCTATGATGCTTCATCATTCGGTTCCTAAACTGGCCTCGGTGCCCTTTTCGGTGAAATTTTGGATCCCCCTTTTTCATAACTCGATGTTCTCCCAGCTGTCCGCGTCTCTTCATTGCCATTTCCATGCGTTTCTTCTTGAATTCCCTCTTGTCATTAACTTTTTTATGAAGCCTTTTCGCTTCTTTTTTCTCTTTGTGTGCTGCGTGTTTTGAGGAATGTTCCACTTCGCCCCGTTTCATTCGATGAAGTGCAATGTCTCTTTCTAATTTTCTCTCCAGAATTGCCCTCTTAAGGCGTTTTACCCTCGACAAGGCGTCATTGTTACTGCGCACATCGGTCCTTTTCTGACGCGACAACTCTTTATCGTTAAAACGCTTTACTCTGGACAATTCCTCGTCTTCCTGAAGACGCTTGACTCTTTTAAGTTCATCTTCCAAACGGAGTTGATCAGCTACTTCCACAGATCTCTTCTGCAACGGGCGAATCTGAAAGATTACATAGGACATAATTAATAACAGGTGAACAAAACATTGGCTAATACTACTCATCTACTATCAGGAATAAAACAATACGCGTTCATGTGTAATGACGACACGAAAGTTAATGGAGTATTATCAAGGAAATATCAAAATTATATTTTTGAGAGATTAGTTGTTGGTGATTGAAAGTTCTGTAAATTTTCAGGGATGACCAAAAATTTTAGTTTGTCGGAGAATGTTAAACTAAATATATAGCCATATATCCATGTATATGAACAATTTCCAATTCAAGCTATTGACAAGCAAGTTGATGAATCAAAGATGTTAAAAGTATCTGTTAAAGTCACCATTTCGCAAGTACTCTGCTCGATATTGTCAGCAAGTAATTGTCTACGTATTTTCCTGTACTGTATTTTCCTGTATACCCGATCATAACGAGGGGCACAAGGCGGGTGTGACCGGTCGACAGGGGATGCTTACTCCTCCATGGTACCTGATCTCACCACTGATGGTTTTAGAGGTCCGTGTTTTTCTGCTTCTAATTTTCAATAATTCAATGGCTTTGGATGTTCTTTATCTTTATATTTCATTAAAACCTTTTTAACTTTAAAATGTGATCCTTCATTGTATTGATCTACAGTAGCAATAAAAGGTGGGTGTTCCTTCGACAGGTGTTTGAATTACTGACAAATACGAAAGATCCCAAAGCAATTATTACTTGCATATTCAATCTACGTCTCAGGAAATTACTGTTGTTGCATCCATCTCTATATTTCGAGAATGAAAATTGAACTTGTCGAAAAAAAAGAAGAAACGTTTAAATGATGGAAGTACTTAGTAATGTCCCTTTTTTCATTTTGTACCATATTTTGTATCGTATACTATTTATTTTTTTGGCATCTCTGACCAGTTTGTTTGAAATATACACTGTATGTTATTAATGTACCCCATGTACATGTACTTACATTTTGGTTTGGGAGAATAAACTAAACTTAAAACTTGAGCAATGGTTACAGTGTTTCTCATTAGTCAAAATAACACCTTGAAATTGATGCAATTACTCTGTGCGTGGTTGCGCTCTAAGGGTTTTTAATGTTGACGACAAGAAACAAATTAAAATAAAAGGAAATAAAGAATGTGCATGGTTCTAAGTTTTTATTTTTAGGAATACAGTCTGCATTGTGTCATTAACTCCACTGTTTCCCTGGGGGAGAGTCCTTGATTACTAGTAACTTTGCATCTTTTATATGTCTACACCGCCTGAGAACGAGACTCGCTATTGAAACTGGACAGAGTTGAAGGCTTAACTCAGGAACATGTCAAACAGTGGAATACATGTATTCTTTACAATGTTCTTTCTGTTTGTTTGATGGGACCGTATAGAAAATTAATTATCGAATTTATCTTCATGTTTGGTCTTAATTACAAAAATGTTCTAAAATATGACGAAAGGTAGGACAGGGGAATTGCTGATTTTGTCCTATTTCAATTATTTTCCATTGGAAGGAGATTACGCCAAAAGAACATGAAACAAAAGGATAGAAGATCAATCTAATGTCTTCTTATGTCCATTGGTAAAAAAAAAAATCAGAGTTTTTTAAGTAATAGTATGTAACGTCAGGTGAGAAAAACAAACAAAAACAGAGAAAATAGAGCAAAGCAAGAGCAAAAATAAAAACACACACCCTCCCTCACACACAAAACAAAACAAATAAACCAAGAACCAAAACAAACCATCTAAACAAAAAACAAAAACACAAAACAAACAAGAAACAACCCCCAAAAAAAAAAAAAAAAACAAAAAACAACTCATCACCAGGGGTAGTAATGTGAAAATAATTAACAAGCCCGTTTTAAATCATAAGCGTTCGTTTTTGCCTTTATTAAACGTCTAGCTATAGAGTGACTTGAAGATTAAATTTTATTGCGTTCAAGATTGTAGCAGTTCCATACTGCTATACATACCGCTAAGGCGAGGCCTATATTATCCAGGGATAACAATTTACACGTATACATAAAGGTGTTCAACAGATCTAGTTATCTAGCAAGAGTTAGACGAAGTAACTGCTTCGATCTTCAATGCAGTCCAGATTTAACTCAGGGGCGTAGCAAGGGGGGGGGGGGGGGGGCAGGAGGGGCCGGCCCCCCTTTTTTTCCCAACCTTACTTATACTATAGGAAATACGAAAAGGAAAACCAGACTCCACGAAATAGGATTTTCGACTTTGGGCAACTTTTTCTTTTTTTCTTTTTTTTTTTATTTGCTTGTCAACTTTTTCAGGTTAGTAAAAAAATTTTTTTCTCTGGCTGGCCCCCCACTTTCAAAAACGATGCTACGCGCCTATAACTAAACTTGGTACAATTATAGTATCCCTCGGAAGAAACAGGTTCGACCTTAAGATGGAAGGTACCTTTCATCAAAGGGAGAAAATAGAGAGAGAAAGCATCTCGTAAATTAATATTCTCCTTATGGAGTCTAAACTTTCTTTTATGGAACAAACTTTTCTTTTCTATGTACGAAGCTTGGTTTCTTTTGCAAAACAACTACATGAAATAAAGCAACAAGGTCAGCTCTTGGATTGTAAAAAATAGTCAAAAAACTTCAGTTGTCAGAATCTGGTCTTTTATGGCTATTTTAATATTTATCTAGAGGCAATCCCCTGTAATACAAGTACCTCAATGAAGTACCCCCTGTTCGGTTTCCTATTACATAAAATAAAATATTTATTCCAAATATCAATACAAGGAAACGAGTCCGCTGTTAGGATATTAAGTTGATATTAAGTGTAAATACACAGTTACATATCTATATTGATTTTAATAAAACGCTTTTGTCCCTGGCTTTCAAATTGATTTCCTTGTTTGATGCATCACGAAGCCGAACCATCAGAAATACATTGCAGTGTCAATAGGAGATCGATTTCATGTTAATAAAAATTGCTATCAGTAACTCTTCTTCTTCTTCTTCCCTCGTCTGTCTCAAATTCTCGTTTATTGAAATCTTGCATCTCAACAAGTCCATTATCAAATTATGTAACTCCTTACCTTACTACCAGCCTATGCTAATTAAGAAAAACGTTTGAATCCTTATTAATTGCTTCTGTAAAGAAATCATTGATTGTAAACTGTCTACGGGTATTTCGATAGGAAACAAAAGGTTATAAAATCGCCCTGTAATTAATGGAATGTTCTGAAATTGTTTTTTTTTCTTTCTGATAAAAAGAAGACTAATGGGAGCCCTCCCCCGACAAAAAAATAAGAACGACTTCAAAGACAGTTTATCTTTGAAATTTAGTACATTGTAGTAATAAGTACTTTCACAGATAATAATATTTCTCCGATATGGAGTACAGAACCAATAAGTTACTAATTAGAATCAACCTGACGGTCAAACAAATCCTACTATAAGCTGTCTTGGTTGCTTGGGGTACAATTAAGTCCGAGCAAGTCAGTTTTTTCAGAAATACATTTTTTTCAGATTGATCAATAAGCATCGTCCCTTGGTACCCTCTGCTATACTAGGCCAGAAAAATATATACTTTAATTATGTAAAATGGCCATAGGGATGTTTTAACTTTTCTATCGTCAACTTCCCTTATATGTAGCAATATACCTTCGTCACCTGCATATACGGAGTTTATATCTCTCAGTTGATTTGATACGCAAGAGCATGCTCTACGTATGTACAATATCTAAAACGAGGTAAATTACTGACAAACAAGTTGATGAAACAAGAATATCTGCAGTCTCGTTTAAAGTAATCACTTCGAAAGTTCTATGGGCGATACAATGACGTCAGCAAATACAATTTATCATTGAGTCAAATGCTGACGGACGTTTTTCATACCAATTGTTAGTCCATTATGTACACACTGAATTGACTACGGATCTTTCCGTTATTTCCCGATCATGACAAGGAGCACACGGCGGATGTGACCGGACGGAAGGGGATGCTCACTCCTCCATGGCACCTGATTCCACCTCTGATGTTTTGGAGGTTTGTGTTTGCTCTGCTCTTATTTTGTATTGTTTTATAGACTTTTGAGCCTGAACACTGTTCGTTATTTCCATATATTTTATACCTCGGTAATTTTATGATTACTTGCTTGCTTTTATCAGCTGGTTTTTACTCTTGTCTGTAAGTGTAAAGCAGTCTGGTTTTCCTTTTTTATTGTATTATTATATTATAAGTGATGTTTATATATTTCATTGTAAACCATACCAATAATTTGAATGTTAGGATGTAGAGTTAGGATCAGGCCAGTATTGAACACCTATTCATGCTGTTATAATCATGAATATATTGTTTTAAATTGAATAATTTATACCCCTTGGAGACAAGCAACAGTGGCCTTTAATATAGTGTTGTTTACCACTTAAATTCTATTATTAAAAAATAAGTTTAACAAATATCCTTAAAAAAAACAAAACAAAATATGTTTTATTAGAAATATTGATATTAATATTAATATAATTAGTACATTGGTTTTTAAAGCTAATAAACATTTTATGTTTTACCTACTTTGTAATACCTACGAGTACGTAATATGATTTTATAAACGATATTCTTCATTTGTCGTTGTAGACTTCATTAAACATTTTCTTAATGGTGTCAGTCATGTTGAAATTTTGAAAGATAAATTTTGTCTGCAAACACTCGAGCTATACGCTGGTCTGGCCGTATGGGAATTGGAATGATTCTTTGATTGATAATTATTGTTTAGCACCGACTCTTCGAGTCGGCAATAAGAAATGAGAATGAAATTTGGCTCATGATATTTTTTGTTTTTATTCGTTTTTCATTGATGCTTTATTTGTTTTGTTTTGTGTTCCCTCTTTATCGATATCGCTCAATCTGTGTAGCCCATGTTCTGAAAATCAAACTTTAATAATGGTCCAACATGATGTTCTATCTTAATTAAGTTTATCAAAAGAAAAAAAATGTTGAAAAAAGGACCATCCCGGCGATCCAAACACTTAACACTTAAGTTTTCTTTAAGTAGAAACTTTACACAAATTTAACAATTCTATACTTGATTCTGATAGCGAGCCCGCCAATAGGGGCCAATAATTTCTTTTTTTTCTCTCTCTCCATTTTTTGCAGTTTAAACTTAATTATACCTGAGGTTCCATGAATTAATGTGTCATTTTATGAATAAATATTAACAGATGGCTACACATGTCATATATGTATAATATCGAAGATCTATAATGAAACAAATGAAGTTTTCAATTTCATAACCGTACTTCTATTGCCGTTCGAGTCTGAACATTACATTAACATAACATTTGATGTCACTTATTTACAATATGGAACCATCCTTTTGCTCCAAAAAGTATATATGACTTTGGAAACCACGCTGGCTAAGTCCCTGTGTCAGATAACCATTGAAAGTTCTCGGCGTCCTCGGATTTTTTCAATATCTATTGATTGTGCCAAATTAGATTGAATCAATAAGCGCGAATGAAAGCGCTTCTCCGATATTCGATTCACAGTTGTAAGCCTAATTAAAAACAACGCTGGTAAATTAATTTGCATCCCTATTTGACATATCTGATAATCTCAGTTAATATAAGTAAGTGTTGACAAATACGTATATTTTGTTCCATTTTCCAGCAAGTATTGAATTCGAAGCTAGAAGGATATCATCGTATAACAACGCTTAATTGCGTAATATCCTTACGGGTTGCATGGAAGTCTTGAAGAAACTGAACATAGCTTACTTTAAAGCATCAGTTGCTTGATTTTTTTCAGAAGTAAAAAGCTAATCATGAAAAGCATTTGATCCTTTCTTACGGTCTCATATATTTTCTTCAAACGATATAAATTTTAGTTCAATTAAATCAAACACTATATTTTAGATTGCAACAAATATTTGATCATTACCCTTCTGTGTTCCTTTTTGTATTATTTTGTTTTCTCAAATTGAATCCTCTTCCCTCTGATAAAATTACAAGGTATATACACTGTACCTGCATTTTTACACCATTTCCTTCTCTGCCAGAAATATATAATACGGAGTATATTGATTTTGAAAATCCCAAGTATTTTCTTTGAAATTGCACTTTTCTTACCATTATTACCACTTCTTTCGTTTTTTGACACATCAAACAGAACACATTCTGTAAATTACTGAATATATTAACACATTCAACAATTTTTCAAATTTTATCTTTTAGTTCAGTTTTTGTTTTGTGTGTGAGATTTTGCGCAATGGATACCATTTTCCTCACTAGATTTAGAGGGTATGTATATAAAATATTTTAAAGATGAACATTTCTATTGGAATTTCAAAGCCAAAATGTTTGTACCCACCTCTGACGCGGCGAAGGACCACAAAGAGCCAACTGTCACAAAGAGCAGCAGGAAAACTGAAACACAACGTTCCATGGCGGAAAATCTCTGTTATCACGCCATTCAGACGACACTTACTAAATGGAAATGACTATCAACTCCCTTCTGCTTTGGTATAATCATTTTAAAAATCGATGGCTGCTGCGACTGCGCAGTGAACGTGAACTGATGAGACCAAGGTCGTGTGACTGCTCTCTGCCAGTTTCTGTGTTTTTGCGTTAGAAAAAGAATCGATTGAATTCCTCAGTTTTGCTGTTTTTAAAAAGTCTGGTTACGAAAGAATTTTACATTAAAGGAACAAACGACGGAAATCGAGTGTTTCAAAATATACCACAGTATTATATAATAGTCTTCGGTGCTTCAGGATAAATCACCTACTGGACGGGTTCTAATGCTGATGACAATATATTTCCGATAAAGGCTTGAAGTATACTTGACTTGTATGTTCTTCGTTTGCCTCGTGTTTTCAGACATGTAATTTGTTTTTGTTTTATCTCTTGGCGACAACTGATTGTTTTTTGTATTCAAAATGACTTTTCATTGATTAGAAACATGTATGAAATGGATGAAACCTATGGAGATAACAAAGAGTATTCAAGATCAAAAGTCCATACAAACAATACAAAATAGGAGCAGAGCAAACACGGACCTCCGAAACATCACAGGTGGGATCAGAGGCCATGGAGGAGTGAGCATCTCCTGTTGACCTGACAAAACCGCCTTGTGCTCCTTTTCATGATCGGGAAATAACAGGAAAATCCGTCATCAATTCAGTATACATGTAAATAATGGACTAAGAATTAGTATGAAAAACGTCAGTCAGGATTTGACTCAATGATGTATTTGCTGACAAGGTCATTGTATCTACCATAGAACTAACGAAATGATGACTTTAAACGAAACGGCTGATATTCTTGTTTCATCAACTTGTTTGTCAATAATTTACATCGTTTTAGAAATTGTTCATATGTAGAGCATGCTCTTGCATATCGAATCAACTGAGATATATAAATTCTGTATGTAGGTGATGAAGGTATATTGCTGCATAAGTAAAGGAAGTTGACGATTTTAAAGTTAAAGTCATCACGTTTATCATAGAGCTTGGTTGTTAGATTACCATTAATGTCTTTTTCAAGTAAAATATCCAAATATGAAACAGATGTGTCAGACTCTGTGGTATCTTTTATCTCAAGCTTACGGGGATATCTCGTATTCATATAAGAATGGAAGTTACCATTATTAACAATCTAATTAAAATTAGATGTTAGATCCGCTCGCATACTTACGGCGCCGCTGGAGGGCCAGGTAAAAAAATATTTTTATTTGTTCGGACAAATTAGAAATTCGTTCGGACAAATTAGTTATTTGTTCGGACGAATTAGATATTCGTTCGGACAAATTAGATATTCGTTCGGACGAATTAGAAATTTGTTCGGACGAATTAGATATTCGTTCGGACAAATTAGATATTCGTTCGGACAAATTAGAAATTCGTTCGGACGAATTAAAAATTTGTTCGGACAAATTAGGAATTTGTTCGGACGAATTAGATATTCGTTCGGACAAATTAGAAATTCGTTCGGACGAATTAGAAATTTGTTCGGACAAATAAGTTATTTGTTCGGACAAATTAGATATTTGTTCGGACAAATTAGAAATTCGTTTGGACAAATTAGATATTTGTTCGGGCAAATTAGATGTTTGCACAAATTATCCTGTAAAGAGAGATATACACTTTGTCTATTCAGGAGGATTCATCCTTTTTTAATACATAAATAGCTCTTTGGACCATGACATACACACGTAGCAACTAGACATGTGATATTAAAGTCGGGTATGTTGATTGTAAATATTCGGAAATAATGGATCTATACCGGTATAATATATTATAGGCCTAAAGTCTGCCATTCTGAAAGTATATTTTCTGAGAGCCCACTAGTAAATTCAAAGGGTCAGTTACTTCTTATCAAACATATTTTCACTCCCATCCCTGACTAACACTGGGGTGCCAGTGGTCAGTTACCGCTTCTTTGAAAAGATGAGATCCACTCCTTAAGGTTTTACTCCTACTGCAGGCAATTGGTACGGGAAAAAATTGGCATTGAAAAAGTAAGCTCCCCCCCCCACCCCACGAAATAGGACTGTCAACTTTGGGCAACTTTTCCTGAGTCACCCCCTTTTTTTTGCTTGTCAACTTTTCAGGTAGCTATTTTTTTCTCAGGCTCCCCCCCCCCACTTTCAAAAACGATGCTACGTGGCTGTTTTGTATTATGTTGAATAAACTTCGGACTCAAAATATCGAGCCTCTTATTCGAGGGTCTTAATTTTTTTAAGGTGGGGCTTACTAGCTAGGACATTTGTAGATTTGCTTCTATACCGCTGTTCCCACATTTAAGTATTTTGTGATAAAGGAACAAAAAGAGGGAATCTCATAAGTCCATCTCCAATAGATTCTTTCTAAGATCGTTAAAAACTATTATTATGTATCTATATAAATTTTATTTTATATTTAAATATCAGAAAAGCGCATGAATTAAAACATGCAGGTATAATATTGACCAAATTAAACACACGCCCCTTTCCGGGAAAAGGATAAAAAAAAATAGATGAATACATGTACGTTCCTAGAAAGTGCAGTAAAATTTAAAAACACATCATAATTTAATGCAAGTTAAGGTTCTCAATGATTAAGACAATCGATCGTTTTTTTTAAATAGAGGAAGGGGGGGGGGGTGTTACTTGAAAATATTTTGATATTCATTCATGATTTATTTTCCCCGTAAAAGGGGTTGCTTTCATAATTTCCCTTTCTATGTGAGTCGTTGGCCTATCAAACCTTCGAACTGGTACTCAACTGTAAAAGCGTATAAACAAAAATAAGAAATGCTGACAGTGAAATTAAATAGTTTATTCGACTACATGTACCTCTCCAAAAACGGGAGGGGGCTATAATTATGCTCTGAAAATCAATGGACTAGGGAATACTGTATACAGGGAAATTTTCGCCCCCGTTTTATTTTCGCCCCTTTCGCCCTAGCCTCATTCGGGCGAATTTAAAACGGGACGAATTCATATAATACAGTATAAGTACTTAAACAAAACTTTGGCAGGGCTAATTTAAAACGGGGCAAAATTGTTCGCAAGTGTGAAAGGGCGAAAATAACCCTGTATACAGTATACCAGATTGATCGGTTGACCTCGTTATTCACCGGCTCGCGAGTCATATGAACAACCTGGGATCAATACGAACAGGTTCATTTTTGTGAAGTTTTCTAAATTCACAAACAGGAATATTTAATTAAAAACTCAATGAGGACCTTTTAATCATTTTATACACCGCATATGTACCAGATTGATTGACTTAATGTTTTACGCCGAATCGGCAATATTTCAGCTACAACTCGGCGACATATGTATCGGAAATGTATTTCAAAAATCATTCACATGTCATGATTAATAACTGCACGGTAGTGAATATGTACATAAAAAAATCATAAGAAAGAGATCAACATTAAAATGACTTATCTTCAAAATATTTATTGATAATGTTGTTCATTAAAGTTATTTTGCAAAGAATCAAAATAAAATGAAACGTTTTGGTGCAAACCGCACATTATTCGCGGTGTCCTGATAGTTGTTCACAATTTCTCTAATTTGTCCGAACAAATAACTAATTCGTCCGAACGAATTTCTAATTCGTCCGTACAAATAACTAATTTGTCCGAACAAATTTCTAATTTGTCCGAACGAATATCTAATTCGTCCGAACAAATAACTAATTCGTCCGAACGAATTTCTAATTCGTCCGTACAAATAACTTATTTGTCCGAACAAATTTCTAATTCGTCCGAACGAATTTCTAATTTGTCCGAACGAATATCTAATTCGTCCGAACAAATAACTAATTCGTCCGAACAAATAACTAATTCGTCCGAACGAATTTCTAATTTGTCCGAACGAATTTCTAATTTGTCCGAACGAATATTTAATTCGTCCGAACAAATATCTAATTTGTTCGAACAAATAACTTATTTGTCCGAACAAATATCTAATTCGTCCGAACAAATAACTAATTCGTCCGAACGAATTTCTAATTTGTCCGAACGAATATCTAATTCGTCCGAACAAATAACTAATTCGTCCGAACGAATTTCTAATTTGTCCGAACGAATATCTAATTCGTCCGAACAAATAACTAATTCGTCCGAACGAATTTCTAATTCGTCCGAACGAATTTCTAATTCGTCCGAACGAATTTCTAATTTGTCCGAACGAATATCTAATTTGTCCGAACGAATTTCTAATTTGTCCGAACAAATAAAAATATTTTTTTACCTGGCCCTCCAACGGCGCCGTACATACTCGCTACAATAACATCTAACAGCATCCCATTGAGGGTAACGTCAGAGGTCAAACTCTATCAACCAATCAAATTGTCGCCTGCAAAATCATCGTATATTGTTAAAGAGGCTGGGGGTGGCAGCCATTTTCAGACTATTTCGATCTCCTTTAACAGTTTAAAAGAAGAGCTCCATATAAAGATATACAAAAATGATCAAATTTTAAAACTAAAATGTATTAATTTTTTCTTTGCCAAAGGACAGTTGACAGCTTAAGATACCGTATATAAAAAATAAGTTAAATCTGGTGGTTAAGTTGTCGTTACTTTGTTGACCCCCCAGCCTCCTTAAAGCGAATAAGTCTAGACCTTTTCCGAATTTTACCTATGACGTGACCCTCTATGGGATTTTGTTAGAATAGATGTTAGTGTAGCGAGTATGTGAGCGGATCTAACATCTAATTTTAATTAGATTGCATTATTAATAGACAATACGTCGCCTATATATCTAAATGTCGAGTTGAAGGCAACAGCAAGTGTTTTCTTCTTTTTACGTATAAGCCTTTTGACAAAATCTACAAATAGGTCTGCTAATAACGGGGTACAATTGGTACCCATGGGAATTCCAATAGATTGTTGGAAGACCTGGTCTCCAGTATTGATTTTCTAAATACTGTAAATTGAAGGGTTTAAAATTCTAGAGAGTTCACAACCATCATGATTGTCTCAGAGTTGAGGAAAATGAGCTTGATATAGCAATACATGTACAATGTTTCAGACCACATTTTAAAAAGAAATTCTGTCAAAGGCTCTGCAGTCTAAAACTTTTCTGTTTGGGCAAATCTCAACCAATTTTTCGCTTTACTGGTAAAAAAAAAAAACCCAGAAATTTCAACTTCTTGGGATCTTGTAAGCTGTGGCAATCGTCGCAAAAACATGAGAAGATGAGAATAGCTTGGGGAACGTTTGGCTCCTGCAATTCCCGATACCAACTCTAACCCAATCGTAACGTCTCGGGCCTTTCCGAAAATGATGTTTTTAAGACCTCTGACGGAAAAGCCCAAAATAATGCTGTTAATCTTAACCCAATCGGAACATCACTCGGCCTTTTCCTTTTTTTCTCGACTTGACGGAAAAGGCCGCGTGATGTTCAGATTGAATCTGCGTTCTACAGGTAAAATTACATATCAGTGCCCTTAATATCCATTCAAGTAATAACGCACACTGTCAGATTGTTTTGAATATTATATATATTAATCTCGTTCATCCCGGGGGGGGGATTCCAGGATCGTTTTTTTTTTCTTTCGAGCGGTTTTAGAATGAATTTTGTTTGTTATATTTATCGGTAAATGAATCTAAAGTAAAAATTTATTCTTTATTTCATATAAAAAAAATTAACGTAATGTCAGTTTAATGTTGAAATTCCTAAAAGTCCATGAAATTCCATACCCACCCACCCAATATTTTTAGAAATACAGTTAAAGGAATCAAAATTACAAATACATTTCAAATAAAGCTTTCAGTCTTAAAAACAAAGTCAAAGGAATCAAAATGACAAATAAAATAATAAAATAAAGCTTGCAGGCTCACTGTGTCTGAACCAGGATGTTACAGTGGGGGTAGTGGTTTTGCAATCCATGACTTTTACCAAAACTCCCACAATAACACGACCATTGATAGCACTTTATCAAACAAGCAGATTTTTAAACACCAAGTTTGGACGTTTGTATAATTCTCGTCTGGGGCAGTCGACGGGGGAACCTTTACAATGCATCGGTGAATTATTTATAAATTTGACATATTCAAGCATATTTCTATTTAAAAAAAAAATAATATCGATGAAGATCAATTGAAGGTTTCTGAATATTTATAAATAATAATTTCCGATTATTTCATGCTTAGATCCTTTTATCACACAACCCTCTCTGGGCATAGATTCAGAAGGCAATGGTTTAAAAACCTTGAAGAAAATCGTGATTTTCCTAATCTTTACAAATATCACATTCTCATCAGTAGTTATTTGTTTCTCAGAGTACCACACTTGTAAGAAAATTCATCCGTAAAATGCATTTTATTTTTTTAGGACTGTTATTGACAAACTTATTTATTTGTGTGCAAAATGACTATGCTACAGAGGTGGGTGAAATCTTTGAGAAGCGGATCAAAATGTTTGGGGATGCCATTTTGGGATTTTCGGACATTGAACACATTTATTCCAACGACACCTCTGTGAGTTTCTTGAACTTTGCGGCATGGACTCATTTGGAGGACATGGTCCAAATTCTGGAAGAAAGATTAACGAAAATAGTTGAAATCTTGTACGACAATAAGAAACTTATCGAGAAAGCGTACAATAGCAATGAATACAAGCCTTTCCGAGACCAAGACCTCTGTTGCCGAGTCGATTCTTCGGACCTGGAGTTAGATCTTCAATTTAACCGCCTGGTGTCAAAATCTATTTGTTTCATGAAATCAGATTCTTCTCTTGGGAATAACATTGACAAAACACATAGCAATGCCTTCCGGGAAAACTCGGAGAAATCTCTATTTTTATTGTGGCAGTACTATGGAGATTCACTGGGAAATTATTTTCAGTATCCTGCCAAAAAGTCCACGTGCGATGGAAAAGTTTGGAATGATCCAAGATTTCAGTAATTTAATTGGTTTAATTGATTCTTTCATATTTTTAAAATTTTCTGTAAATTCTAAGGCAACCTTTTAAACGATTCGATGGATTATCTACATTAATTGCCGGAGAAATTATTGTTATGTTCGCATTTATAAGAATCTTTAAAAACAAATTGAGTCCCTAAAAAACTCAACCTAGAATTTGATTCTTCTTCTTCTAAATACAGCAAAACTTCAGACATTTCGAGATTACAATTAACATGATTAAGAGAAAAAAAAAATCAAAATTGTCAAACAGGAACTATATATTGAACTTTGAATTAAATTGAACTTATTATTTTTAAATGAATATATAGATTGGGAATGGGCACAAATTCGCCCTCTCCCTACTGGAGTTCACCTTAGTTTATAAGTTTCTGTCTCCCCTTCTTGATCCGCCCATTGCTTTGTTAACTCTTCTGCGTTTGAAGTAATAAAAACACATCTCGCGGGAAATTCGTTCAGATGCTGCAACAGAGGGACACTGTTGAAATCATTATCCTGCTATCACTCGTGATCATTTTTTAGGGATTGGTTTGTTCACACCCTGGTTCCTAACAAAAAGAATGTGGTCATTGTTCTGGACGCCAGTGGCTCCATGTCCGTGGCTGTTAATGGGATGGGGAGTTCTACACCCACCAGGAGCGCTATCGCCAGGGAGGCGGCCATGACGGTACTGGGAACACTCAGTACAACAGATCATGTAAGTGATGCCCAGCTGACTTACTTATCAACTGGGAAATTGTGTACAACATTGTAACACATCCAGCTTCAAAATGTTCAATACGTCATTGAAAATGTTAGGCATTATCTCCATAATTTGGCATAAATTTACTATTTTTAAAATATCTTTAGCTTAATTAATAGCAAAGAAATCATTTAACTTTTAAAATAATTATTATTCAATTTGTTAATGAAAAATGAATTAAATATTCAATAATTTGCCATGTCTGTCTCGTTATCAGATGGGTGTGGTCATTTTCAACAGTTCTGCAGTGTCTTCCAAGTGTTCCCCCCAACAGAACAGTCAAGGGATTCATATGTTGGTACCAGCTACCACTGACAACATGGAATCCATTCAAGAACTTATCAACAGCTCTGTACCATCAGGTCAATGAATGCCAGTATATTTAACATTTAAGGACACTCTTAACACTGCACTCTAAAGAGCTCTATTTATTGGGTAGTTTTATGTAGTTAGAGTGATCTGCCCTTAGATGTAAGATTAAAGAAATTTTTATTTACCGTTAATTACCTAATTTATAATAGATTAAAATATTTTTAGCATTATATAAGACCAAGAGTAAGAAATTTAATTGATTTATTATTATTTTCATTAATTTTCCTCATGTAAGTAAACAACAGTGATTTCTGCATGCTCACAAATAGTCCATTGTCTTTGAACATTTTTCCTGCGCAAATAAGGCACGTACCCTATGTTCTAAATGAATGAAAAAGTCTCAATATGCATATCTTTATATGATATGTTTTTCTCTTAATCCACAAAACAGTTTCTGTTGTGTTTAGAGCTTCCTTCTAAAAGCTTCTAGAAATTGATCATTAGAGTGGGAGGATTTTTTTTTTTCATGACTTACATGTAGTTTACGAATGCGTATCTCTTCCCTTAATTTAAAGGCCTATGCAAGATAGGTTTGTACATCAATGAAAAAGTCCAACTAGATTTTATTAATTCCCCTAGGTATTGTTTCATAAACACTACATAATAGATGACTTAGCTATCAGAACTGTGACACTGTCAGGAGTAATTGTAAATTAAGCTGTTATTTTAATCTGTATTATCACTATATGATGTAGCCTTTGCATTATTGAGAAGATGCAGTTTATTTTTTAGGTAACACATATTATGGGAATGCATTTTCCAAGGCTTTCCAGCTGCTGAGCCACTCCAAGCAAATAAATCCAGTAAGTAGATTTATCCATGACAAAGCTACGGAATTTTTATAACAGCTCTGTCAGGAAAATGGCAGATCCTGGGAGAACAATCAGATTAACTAAATGGATTTCCTTGGTGTAGGATTATGAAAGATTAGATGCTTGTGTCAGTCATGAGAAAAAGGCTTTCATGTAATAAGTTTTGGTTTTCGTTTAGATCAATCAGTGACCATGACTACCTTACACTTTCTTTGTATATCGAAATATTTTTTTAACTACAGTGTTCATTAGGGAATAATTTAATTCTGTTTGTATTCTTGTCTCTCATTGGTTGATTTCCAAAAAGGAACGCATAACATTTTGTATAATCTGGTTTGGTATGGGGACACACCCCCTTGACAACCAGCTGTATCATCTGTATCCATCAATCCCCTCATTTCCAGTCCTTCGGATTCATGAAAAATTCCAGATTTAATGAATGTACCTTTAACTTCAAACAGTTGCTCGATCTTACCTCATGTAAACAAGCATCATGGCTGCTAGATCTATGTATCAGTTTTTACCTCCCCTTGCTTCCCATCACTTCCGTTACTACGGTTGTATTATTGCGCGGTAAATTTGAACTAATAAAAACAACACAATTTCACATCCCCAGTTGTTTAATTATTTTAAAATTAAATTATTTTTGGCCAGATTATCGAGTATAATATACGCTTTTTTATAATCCGCTCCGCGTATTATAAAGCTTAAACTGACCCAAACCATATTATACTCGATAATCTGGCCAAGAATTAGAGTCATTCCTTAATGGGTATCGCCAGAAATTTGGTATTTCGATATATCACAATTTTTTCTAAAAATATCATGATAATATCGTGATATTTTTACAAGCAATTTTTACAATGATTTTAAATGAATAGTCATTATTTTTCGTAAAAATACGCTAGAAAAACAAAATTTCACCTTTAAAAATTTTTTATATACATGAAATTAATCATGTTTGGTTGGTAAGATGCCGTTCTATTCACTTTTTACAACATTTTTTGGACCTTTTGTAATTGGAATTTGAAAGATTGAACAATTAATCAATAATTTCTGGACTTTATAATATGTACCTAAATACCAGTACTTAGGTCTCCGTATCATGTTATGTATCACCCATTAAAAAATCGCGATATACCGGTATACCGATAAAATCGCACATCCCTAGTGTTCATAACCATTAAAAAAAACCAACACATAACAAACAGAAACTAATTTTGTTCCTGCTTTTGCAAAAAGGACATTATGAATTTCAGTTTGTCTATCTGTCCATCTGTATTTCTGTCTGTCTGTAACATTTTCATTTCCTCACAATATCTTGAGATGCATTTGAGCTTTTGCAATAAAAAAATTTATTGCATAAATCCAAACAGTCTGTTTTGTGGTTGAAACTTTCATCTTGAGGCGATATTTGGAGAAGCTTTTGAGCATTTGCAATGATATTAAATACCAATAATCCCAACTGCCCTGCCCACTCCTCTTCTTTTAGTTGAAACTAGCAAGATACAAATGTAGCAATTTATCCACAACATTTGGTTTTCATATTTTTTACAAAAAGTAGTTTTAGTGATTTTATAATGTAAAGAGAGATATATGTAGCTATACCAATTGATATGGAATGAATTGTTAACGATATTCAATTTTAGCTATTTCAGAAATATTTGTAATAATGGCAAAATTGAATCCTAGCTAAAAATTCTGCTTGTATGGTATATATAATGTTTACATGTATTGGATCACTTTAATTTCTCCTGAATCACACATTCCAACCCACAGCCTCCCCTCACTGTCCACACTCAATCCACTAGGATTTTCTAGTCCACAGTTATCCACACATCTCAAGAATTGTCCATTCTTATCTACAATGTGCAGACAGTTATTGCCTACATCTGCCACTATGATCTGACTCAAAGAGTCTGTTGCTATTTGTCTAAGTTTGAATTTCTTCTCTCTGTTTGCTGGCGTTCCATCATACTGAAATCGCACTCTTCCTGTCTCATCCATAACAACTACTGTGTTAGAAACAAGATCACAAACACAAATGTCTCCATTGTTGTTCTCTGCCACAAATAGCAATGATGACCCTGATTGAAAGATTGGCTTGTCGTTTTCACCGATTTCTATTTCTAGCATTGACCTACCTCCCTGATAACAGACAATTTTGTTCTGGGGTCCGTTCCACAGATTCAGGAGAATGCCCCCGGATCTGGTACAGCACAGGCCTCGTGGATGCCAGTTCTGGGGTACATTAATCAATGTCTCAATTCTCCCTTGTCTGACAATGTTTACAGTTCTATTGTTAAAATCACTGTATACCAGCTCCCCTTGCCCAGTCACTGAAATGTCTTCCAGCCCATATCGACAAGGGCTGGTGACGGTATCTCGTACAGTCCCATCTAAGCCAAGTCGATATATGACTCCCCTATCACCACTAACCCAAGCTTCTGTTTCCACACAGGCCATTCTCCATAAAGGCTTAACTCCTGTGGAAATGGTGGCAAAAACAGTGGCCTTGTCCATATATAGTGTAATGGGATTCTACTCTGTCAATGTAGCCTTGTTTTCGGTAATGTCATAAAAAGTTCTCTCCCTTGGACTGTGCCACTTGTTAGAAAAGGAACTGAAGAAAAAAAAAAAATCAAACAATTTATTAATGATATAATAATAGAAGGAACCATGATGCTGTTGTAATGTATTTATAAATAAACTAGCCATGTATATTAATATTTAAACAATTCCTTCATCTCTGCAAAGTGCAGAATGGGGGAATGAAAAGAAAATTATATATATACCTGTATATATCCTCCATTGATTACTATGAAGTATACCTGAGTTTTATTATCTCCAACTGTGCTGTTTATCACTGTAAATGGATAAGGATATCTTCCTGGTATCGAAACTATATAAATTGTTATCAACATTACCTTGTATAGTGGTGTTTGATTGTGGTTCATAAAATGTAACTGAGAGTTTATTGTAAAAAGTTTACAAGTGTACCTGACATATATTTTTTTTCCATTTTCATAAAAAAGAAGTTTTTTGCGTCATGCAATGCAATTGATTGATTCTTTATTGTTTAATGTCCCTCTTGAGAATTTTTCACTCATATGGAGATGCCACCACTTGCCGGTGGAGAGCTGCAAATTTTGTCCTCTACTCGGCACTCGAGGGTCATTGAGCAGGGAGGGATCTTTTTTGTGCCAGCACCTACTGTGACACGAGACCTCGGTTTATACAGTCTCATTCGAAGGACCGGTCTCCATGTCCCACAGTTGGATTCAAATCCGTGATGTAAGGATTGACTCCTTACTTTGTGACTCTAGAGAAGACGCTCTAACTGCGCCATGCAGGCAACTGCAATGCAGTTTGCAATGCAGTTGATGAGAATTTGTAATTTATGAAGGATTATCAAAAAGTTTGTGGACTAGCTCCATAAAATCAGCTTTAGTTGCATTAATGAATTTTAATACATTAAGTAAGCATGATATTACCTATCTGTAGATAAGTGATAAATTAAAAATTAAAAATTTTACAGGAGCTGTAAATGTATTACATATTGCTTTGTATTGTTTATAGAGCTTTTGGTGGAAAGAAACTTGCGCTAATTCAAGTACAATGCTAAATGTCTTGAACATAAATAAGAACATAAAGAAACATGCTAAATAAAATCTACATTTACTTGTTCAAATATACATTGAGAATATATTTTCTGATTGTTACAGAAGCAGTTTGAGGACTGTATTTATGACAACTGCTGACGTTATACATGCATTTTCTGATTGTTACAGAAGCAGTTTGAGGACTGTATTTATGACAACTGCTGACGTTATACATGCATTTTCTGATTGTTACAGAAGCAGTTTGAGGACTGTATTTATGACAACTGCTGATGTTATACATGCATTTTCTGATTGTTACAGAAGCAGTTTGAGGACTGTATTTATGACAACTGCTGATGTTATACATGCATTTTCTGATTGTTACAGAAGCAGTTTGAGGACTCCCTGGACATGATCCTGTTCCTCACTGATGGTATGCCTGAGGATACACCAGAGGACATTCTTGAGGAACTCGCATTAGGACAGGCCCTCATGGTAAAAATAGAAAAGATAGAGCTTGTTGTAATAAAAAAAGATAATGTTAAAAAAAATTTCCAAGGTCTCTTTGCTTTATATTTTCATTGCCTTGAAACATTCTGTTTTTTAATGTCAGTTTTATATTTTTTTCTTTAGAACCACTCTGTCCATGTTTTTGTATATGCCCTGGGGGATGAAATCAAAAACACAAACACTCCAAAACATTTCTTGATACAACTCGCAGATCAGAACAACCTCAATCTCAACAACCGGTTTGGACCTCAGAAGGACCTCAAGTGGCCTGTAAGTCAGGAAATTCTCTGTAAACAATGACTGAAAAAGAAAATTCTGAACCATTTGCTATATGTATAAACTTGTATAGAGGCATTCTGTTTTGAATTTTAGTCATGCAAGTTTAAATGTGCCATATACATGTAGAAACACCTGTATAATCATCTTCTATATGTATGGACTATTTTGCATTTTCAATTGAATTTTTTCAGAAACTGTCAAAGCAACAAGACAATGACAAGCCTGCAGGGCCGGTGGGAAATGTGACCTTTATTGAGAACTCGGATGGACAGAAGCTGGTTAAGATTATGGGGGAATACTATTCCCAGTTCCAGGCGGTGGTCAACGGTTCCAGTGTTACCTACAGTGTCCCCCAGAGGGAGCCCAATACAGGTGGGACTGGTAACTCGACACTCTAGTCTTGTCTAGGGGATAAGGTTGACATGACAGTATATTATATGAAATGCTTAGAAAATGCTTTAAAAATTCCATGCAGCCTTTTTTCGGTTTGATACATATAGTGCAATTTTTGACAAAATGTCACAGGTGGTGAAAAATCATGTCTCAACTGGGACTCGAACCCAGGGCCTCTGGCATAATGTGCCAGGGCTCTTACCAACTGAGCTGTTGAGACCCGATATATTGACGGACTTTCAAGCACCTGTGAAACAAATGACACAAAGATAATAAATCTTTGATTTAAGGTACTCCAATACTCAGGTTCTGAAAATCAAGTATTGACTAATTGAAATTGCTCACAAAAATGTCTCTGAATTTTCAAAGTAACATGTTTTACCCCTAATAATTCTTCAAACTTCATCATTCAAGTTAATCATATTATATCTAGAGAAAATTAGTAAATCTCAAATATATTTTCAGGAATTGCAAATAAAAACACCTGCTATGCATTTTCCAATTCAAATTTGATCAATTAACACATTTCAAAAATAAAAATCATAGATAACCAGGCTTTTGAAGAAATTCCACAATTTTTATACATACATGTATAATGTACTTTAATTTCTTTTATTTACTTCTATCAGTAAATTACAATTCAAAGTGTATAAAGATTCTCCTGTCATTGCAAAGCTCCATAAATCACTTCTAATTTCATTTCATGCGAATAAACATTGGTATCTATGGTTAGATTAAAATGAATATCAATTTCTTAATATATGTAATTTTAAAATGCTTTCATGGGGTAAAAATTTCGACTTTTAATTAGACCTCTCTGAGAACTTCAAAGAACCTTGAAACACATTAAGAGGTACATAATTGAAATTGTTGCATGAAAAGATTTAATTTCAAGTTTCATTTTGAAAATTTTTGAATTAAATTTTAAATTAAAGAGTTGTCCTTCCTGGTTGAGGATCGGAGTCCCTTAAAACTTTAAAATATGCTACAATTCTTGTGGTAACTTTTCCAAAAAAATCAAGCTACAATTCTCCCAGAGACTTAAGGTTTTTTCAGTACTGATATTTACTCATAATATTTTGTAATTGGGAAAGTGTTCTTCAGGTTCTCTTATTTAAAAGTATAAGAATGATTGAAGAATAATGGATTTCTTTGTAGGTTTGAAGATGACCCTAAGTATGCCGACACTGAACAGCAGTGGGGAATTCTTTGGGGTCACAGCTATAGATGTCCATCTGGAACTGACTTTCTATGAAGTAGCTCACTTCCATCTTGGTACAGACAGCTATGCCTTCTTAGTGGGGAGTTCAGGTAATAAAAATACATTAAAATTCTACACATAAGGAGATGTCTGTTGTTTGGAGGCCTTTAGGAATCTTACAGAATGCCTTGTACTATGTCTTCCTCCCCAACAGGTACTGTAAATTCCTAAATATACGCATGAAATTAATTATCGCGTAAGCTATCGAGAGGCACCACTTGTGTAAGAAGTTTCTCGCTATTATTTTTTTGGTGCTGAAATCAAAGCAAATCTCTTGAGAAACCCTCCTTTCACGAATTATTATTCCCGCAATTTGACGGTGAAGAGGTCTTTCGCGATGATAAGTACTTGTGAAAAATAAGGAATTTTCAGTATATATTCTAGGTTATAAGGAAGCTAAATTCAAAGTATTTCCTGAGTAATTTTCTATTCATCATAACCAAGTTTTACTTTATATATGACATGTGTTTCTTAAAGACAATATAATAAAGCTTTCCCTTCTTGAATTCTAAAGAATTATTTGCCAAGTGAACATTTTGTTAAGATTTGCTTTTGTGTGTAGGTGTTGTGTAAATATTTCCATTTCTAATTTTTTTTATCTGTGATTACTCTTTGAAAGTTAGGGGGAGTTTATTTCTTGATAATTCTGCCAGAATGTAAATTAGGCAGGTTGATAGGTCAGGAGATAAGGAGGCCTAATACGCATGCAAATCTCGTGTGCATCTGTCTCTGTGTCTGATGCTAAGGAGGCCAAATATGCATGTAAATCTTGTGCGGCTGCCTTTGTGTTTGACGTCAGTGGGGTGAGGACTCTTGAAATTGGCATGGAAGTCCTCATGTTATCTAAATCTATTAATCTACATTTTAAAAGTCTAAATCTACAGTTTTATTTCACAGTGAAATGGAAATATATTTGCCCGTTATGCAAATTATCCCATGTTTCCCACTATCGTTGATGCCCTGGCATACTACACTAACTAGACAGTGATTCCTTAAATCCACCCTGTATTTGTGTGTAGGTGTTGTGTATATGCACCCTGTATTTGTGTGTAGGTGTGGTGTATATCCACCCTGTATTTATGTGTAGGTGTTGTGTATATCTACCCTGTATTTGTGTGTAGGTGTTGTGTATATCCACCCCTGTATTTTGTGTGTAGGTGTGGTGTATATCCACCCTGTATTTGTGTGTAGGTGTGGTGTATATTCACCCTGTATTTATGTGTAGGTGTTGTGTATATGCACCCTGTAGTTTGTGTGTAGGTGTTGTGTATATCCACCCCTGTATTTTGTGTGTAGGTGTTGTGTATATCCATCCTGTATTTTGTGTGTAGGTGTGGTGTATATTCACCCTGTATTTGTGTGTAGGTTTGATGTATATCCAGCCTGTATTTGTGTGTAGGTGTGGTGTATATTCACCCTGTATTTGTGTGTAGGTGTGGTGTATATCCAGCCTGTATTTGTGTGTAGGTGTGGTGTATATTCACCCTGTATTTGTGTGTAGGTATGGTGTATATCCAGCCTGTATTTGTGTGTAGGTGTGGTGTATATTCACCCTGTATTTGTGTGTAGGTGTGGTGTATATTCACCCTGTATTTGTGTGTAGGTGTTGTGTAAATCCACCCTGTATTTGTGTGTAGGTGTGGTGTATATCCACTCTGTATTTGTGTGTAGGTGTTGTGCATATTCACCCTGTATTTGTGTGTAGGTGTTGTGTATATCCACCCTGTATTTGTGTGTAGGTGTTGTGTATATCCACCCTGTATTTGTGTGTAGGTGTTGTGTATATCCACCCTGTATTTGTGTATATCCACCCTGATTTGTGTGTAGGTGTCGTGTATATCCACCCTGTATTTTGTGTGTAGGTGTGGTGTATATCCACCCCTGTATTTTGTGTGTAGGTGTGGTGTATATTCACCCTGTATTTGTGTGTAGGTGTGGTGTATATCCAGCCTGTATTTGTGTGTAGGTGTGGTGTATATTCACCCTGTATTTGTGTGTAGGTGTTGTGTATATCCAGCCTGTATTTGTGAGTAGGTGTTTTGTATATTCACCCTGTATTTTTGTGTAGGTGTTGTGTATATTCACCCTGTATTTGTGTGTAGGTGTTGTGTATACCCACCCTGTATTTTGTGTGTATATAGGTGTGGTGTATATCCACCCTGAGCTGGCAGTGGGCGGACAGGACCTGGAAGTCTACACCGTCGATCAACTGGAACCTAGGCTGTCACCTGCTGCTATTTATAACATCACCAATGGCATGGAAGGTCAAGAGGTTATCAAGGTAAACAACTCTAAGAAAACTCCCAAAAGAAAGAACTATTAAATTGATTGCTTTAATAGTTGCAGAACTGTAGCTCTCTGCTTGAGAAAATTCAGACAGCTAAAGCAGAGAGATCAAGATCTAAGCGTTGTAAAAACCTTCGGTTTATATTTTTTGTCTCTTACTTTTGGTACTACATGTATTTCTTGTATTTTATGCTTTTGCTTGCTTTAAGAATGATGTCCAATCATAAACCATATATTTTTCTATTAATTTTTTTCCTTTAACATGTTAAACTTTAATCTTAGTGTTTGACACACTTCATATAAACCTTTGCCATGACTTTTGAATGATTGGTGCTTGGACTTTAATATTTTTCATATATTCATTGTGACAAGTCCTTTTTTGGGGTAAATTTGGGTAGTATTATTTTTCTTTGACCTTGACCGTGGAGTTTGACCCACTTTTGAAAACTAACCTTGGCCTTATTTTTGATAGGTGGGTGCAAGGACTTTCATATTACACATGTGTATTCAATGTGAACAAGACTGATGTTTACCCCTCAAGCTTTGAAAATCTTGCACTATCCTTGTGACATACTTTTTAAAAAAAATGCTTGATTTAGTTTTCAGCTGATTTGAGGCTTTGCATCAATCTTCATTGTGATTTTTATGTGTTATTCCATCAGAAGTCTGTACAGCAGGTAGTGAAGACAGCAGTATGTTATTACAAGCCTCTGTCTGGATTCAGTGGTAACTTCACCGTAGTCCTAGTGATATTCCAAGACGATACGAGACAGAAAACACTGCAGGTGAAGTCTCACTTCCTGGTACAATATCCTACTGACAATTAGTCATCTCACTCCTACAAGCTGGTGCGCAGATAAATTTGTTTTCAAATCCCAGCAGACTCAGCGACTTAATTAATTTGAGGGGTTTTTCACCTTAGGAGAAAATCATTTGATAGTCTTATTTTGCTTCAAGTTACGTAAATATTTTAAGTGACAATTGATAGACATGTAGAAAAAAAGGGGTAAAAATGAGAGTTCTCACACAGCTATTGTTTAGTTTGTGCCTAATTTATAGATATTCTGGAAATGACTTTATGTTCAGTGAGAAGTTCTCTAATTTACTAATTACCATTAAACATTTTGAAACTGAACCACTAGGAACTTTATCTAACATCCATTTTGCTATATACATGTACAAGTTTAGTTTTATGGTTTATTAGAATTAAATAAGTTTAAACTTGGAAATGACACATTCCATCAAACATATTAAATATTAACATGTTAAACAAGTTCACTAGAAATGATTTTGTTTTCAATGAATATAAAGAAAATGGATTACTAGTATATGGTCTTAAATTGCATACAAAAGAAAAATTACATCCAGTTTAAAATATTTGCTTATACAGGTATTTGTTTGTAGAATGCAGATTCCAAGAGTTTCCCTGACTTTCTGTACCATAGACAGGGTTTTATCAACACCTCAGTGGTGGGTCATAATGGGGTGTGTGAGCGCAACCAGGCCCTGGTCATCCCAGCCAATGCCACGATCAAGGTAGGACCAAAGGTGTCTGACCAAAGGGCTTCTCAGCTAAAGGTAGGACCTAAGGTGTAGGACCAAAGGTCATCTCAATATAAGGTAGGACCTAAGGTGTAGGACCAAAGGTCATCTCAATATAAGGTAGGACTTAAGGTGTAGGACCAAAGGTCATCTCAATATAAGGTAGGACCAAAGGTCATCTCAGCCAAAGGTAGGACCAAAGGTCATCTCAATATAAGGTAGGACCTAAGGTGTAGGACCAAAGGTCATCTCAATATAAGGTAGGACCAAAGGTGTAGGACCAAAGGTCATCTCACCAAAGGTAGGACCAAAGGTGTAAGACCAAAGGTCATCTCAATATAAGGTAGGACTAAAGGTCATCTCAGCCAAAGGTAGGACCAAAGGTCATTCCAGCTAATCGTACAATAAACCACTATTCATCCCAGACAGTACTTCAATATTAGGTATAACCATAAATCACTGGTCATTCCAGTTAAAATTTTCAATCCAGGATGTACAGTGGTAAGTCTGCTAGTTACATACTGTACGTGTACATAATTAGGCATATTCAAAATTTAGCCCAATCAATGGATATGGAGTTGTTGGCATAATCATGAATTAGTGTACATGTTTGGGCCATTTTTTCTATTTATAAATGAATTGTTAGCAGTATTCATGATTTGACGCATCCTCGTCTGCGGCAAAGCAGCTAAAATATGAAGCCCGCTATTTTAAGTACTCATAAAGTATATTTTGAAATCTATTTGGAGAGTTTTTAAAGCTCAGAAACACAGTAAAAGAAGAAATTTACTATTTTCAGAAATATGTCATAAAATGCTCATACAGATCAAGTCTTTACATTGTAGTTGTTACAGTTATTCAATAAATATAGTATTTGTTGACTTCCAGTTTGCCCCTGGCTCCTTCTGGGACCTGGAGAAGAGCCTGATGTATGAACAAAACAAGAGCTACTCGGATGCCCACAGCACCTTCAAAAACACTACAGGATTCTCTCAACATGCAGGTTATAGAAATATCCAGTACCTTTATTCAGGAGGAAACAACTTTAGATAAATATTATTTTAAAATAATTGATAACTCAGTACAGATATGGGAAGGTTCACAGAAATGTAATTTTTCAGAGCATTGAAAATTTTACGTCCATTTTTAATTATAATTTAATTGATATTTCATTTGTAAAGATTCTCTATCAAGAAAATGTTTGAAGACATATATTTAAATACACTTTAAAAAGCATCGCATGGACTTAGATCACGTAATGTTATTGTGCTGTACAAAGTTTGATAGAACCAGAGACATGTATAGATAATGTTCCTGATAGAATGGCATCCAAACTTCGTAAACTTTCTAAGACCCGATTTTGTTATTGAAGCATTTGGTCAATTGCTTGCATATAACAATAAATCATTCTAATAAAGAGTGTTTTGGCCGCATTTATAATGACTGTGCAATGGGTAAGGTACGTAGTAGTAAGTAAACATGACAAACAGCAGGCAAAGTCCTGTCTCAACACCTGTCTTGTATTTTCATTTGATAAAATTTTGTTTCTTTAATCAGATTACTTGTGTTCTTCTGTACAACCATAAGGGTACATGTATTCAGTAAAAATATTTCATTCAACCTAGCAAATTTTAATAGTCACAGTAATAAGTAATGTTTGATATAATAAAGACATATATAAAATACATATCCTTATTTAAATTATCAAGTTTTATTCACAAAATGTATTATTTTATGGCGAGTGAAATATATATACCAGAAATTCTGAACAGGTTACAAAAAAAAGTGTTAATACCATTTTGCGACCTAAGAGCAAGTGTGACTTGGAGCACTGTTAGATAAATATTATTTTAAAATAATTGATAACTCAGTACAGATATGTGAAGGTTCTCACAGAAATGTAATTTTTCAGAGCATTGATTTTAGATTTCTTATTGACAATATGTTTTGTTTTGGTTAGAGAAATTAAAGAAAAAGTAATTCAGAAGCAGTGATTGATTGCATGAAAAAAACATATCCTAAAGTTTTGAGGTAGGAAAGGAGAAGTGAATATAAAAATATGGCTGGGCTGAGAATGGAACTCACTTCACCTTGTATGACAGGTGTTCTAACCACAGAGCAACCCAGGTCAAATACAATAGCCCATATAACTATACAGCTCACAACAGTGTTTAAGTGTTACTGTAGAAGCACAAATTTTCATGGGGATAAAATTTTGTTGTTTTGTCATCTAGAATAGTTTCGTGAGGATTTAATTTCGTTGTTTTGAAAGTACCCCTATTCAATATATAGTCATATAAAATTTCGTGTGGGATTTAAATGCGTCCATAATTGTAAACAACGAAATTACTATTTAATCCCACGAATATTTGTGCTTTTACAGTAGGTCATTTTGTATCATCCTTGATTTACTGTTTTTCAGGAGTGACAGAATCTGTTGCTGGTGATGTCTTGTTGATGAACAAAATTGATCAACACTGGAAGATACCAACTGATGCTATATGGAGGTACATGTATTAATTTATTATAATGTACACAAGAGGCATATGAGGCATGTTCCCCTTTTTGAAAACAGTTAATGTTACTTGAGGTCTAAATTGAAATGATCCATCATTGTAAAAATAATGAAAACAGAATTTTAGGCTTTTTTTAAGATTAAGAACTGATAGACTTCAAGTACTCTTAGTGCTTACTGTGTAATGATTTTTGGAGCAATGATCTTTGGACGATGTTTAGAGTTAGACAAATGTTGATTCTATTTACAGATACATGGGGACAGAGAACGGTGTGTTTAAGGTGTTTCCGGGGACCCTGGTACCTGACATCCTTTATGATCCACGGGAGGATCGCTGGTACACGGCCGCCATTGGTCAGTCTCACAAGTACATGTTTACTGCTCACCCTGACCAGAACATGTCAATCGTCACCCTGGCTAAAGCATTTCACCAAACCAGGTATTGTTAGTGTAAAGGTATCATTCCCCCACCAATTAAAAATCTTAAGGATTTCAGTGCTTAAGTTCTTGTTTTGATTTGATCTTTGCATATTATATTATATAACGAGACATGCATGCAACTTTGAGTTGCTATGTAAAAGTTATATTTTCTTTATGCTTCATTTCATGGTTGCTATTTTTACCTCTGAATAAGTTGTAACGCTGCTTCTATCAAATCTGACAACGTAAATACATGCAGAAATTGACTAAAAATGCAGTATTCAAATAATAAAATTCATCTAAATGGCACATTTTACAATTGTCATGCATTTTACTTACAGGTTTGTCTTTTGTAACCTCATTTAACCTCCAGAAGATAGATAAATGTAAAAGAAATTGGTTATACTTCACTGATGTAACTGTTTATATTGGGTGGAAATTTTATAACTTGTTAAACTCTTATCATCAGTGGAAGTGGGTTTGACTTACCATTAAATATGTCCTGGTCTGTTTCAGTAAATTGGTGCATGGAGTGGTTGCAGCAGACATCACAGTACAGCATCTGATGACTTTTCTGTACAATGCTCTCTTCAGAAACATTAGCCATAATTCAGCTTGGATAGTCATGGATGATGAAGGGTTGGCATTTAACAGTAGTGAAGTTTGAAAACTTAATAACTTCTCAAATGAATTGATGCTTTAAACAGAGGGATTTTGATTTTTCAAGAAAGTACTGTAAACCAACTTTTATTCGCGACGACATTATTTCGCGATTTACCGGGGATAAAGAAGTTCGCGACAATTAATTTTCGCGAATAAGCCTTTTTTGTAAGTGATTTAATAGAAAAATAGACTAAAAGGATCATTTCGCGACGAGAAATATTGGCAATGACGAGGCTCTCGCTAACCTCGCGAAAATTTCTCGCATGTGAATAAAAGTTGGTTTACAGTATGCTGGAACATAAAAGTTTTAATTTTCTTTATAAAGTACAATGTATTTAAAAGGCTTGACATTGTAGCAGGTATGTTAGATCTAATAGTAGATAGAGTACAATGTAATTGTATGAATATTTTTTGCAAAACCCTGACTGATACTTTGACCCCGACTGATACTTTGACCTCTGTGACTGCTACTTTGACCTCGGACTGATATTTCAACCTCTGACTGATATTTTGACCTCAGACTGATTTTTCGACCTCTGACTGACTGATATTTTGACCTCTGACTGATACTTCGACCTCTGACTTATATTTTGACCGCAGACTGAATTTTTGACCTCAGACTGACTGATATTTTGACCTCTGACTGTTACTTTAATCTCTGACTAATTCTTTGACCTCTGACTGATACTTTGAACTCTGACTGATACTTTGACCTCTGGTTACTTTGACCTCTGACTGATACTTTGACCTCTACATTCAGGAGCACCTTGATGAAGCTAGATAATGCTGGACCAGTACAGATGTCCGCCCATCTGACTGAAGTTTTACCCTGGGTGGCAAACTGGTTGTTACAGAAAGGTCTTATAATGGTGAGTACAAGTCTTTTACTACCACCTGCTATGTGTGTATTTATACATCATTGTGCAGGTTGCAGTGGTTTTTCTAAACTATTTTATGGAGTAGAGCATTTGCAGCATAGTAAATTTTGTGATTTGTAATACTGTAGATCACTAAATTTTCGCGACACTTTATTTTCGCGAGATAGTCGTTGACTCGTGATAAGCGAGATTAAATTTTCACAAATTGTGGTTTTTGCTGTATATAATCTTTAGGAATGCTATTATAGGCAAGTTTTAAATTTTCGCAAGCACACTGTCTCGCGTAATTACGCAAAATAAAGTTCTCACAAATAAAAAGTGATTCACAGTATGTGGAATGAATTTAGAGAAATCATTTAAATATAACATACTGACCTAAAAATGTGCATAATTCTGTAAATTTACTTCATGATAAATTTGTCTTACTTCACTATTTTTTTCTGAGAATTTAGTAAATTTATGTCAATGTGTATAAACAATTGTGTATACACATGTCAGTGAATTTTAATTTTGAAAAATGTTAAGAAGACAAAATCATATGTAAGTTTAATTTAATTTAAAAAAAAAAATGGTTTACTTTGAATATAAGACTTGGGACAAATTTTCAATAATCTGACTTTTTATTCACACTTTCTACTTTAGATAGACTGGTGCAGTGATATTCTGTCTGGACACTCCCAGCTGAGTTATTCTTTGGACACCTCTGGATCAGTGGTGGATCCAGGTTCTTCTGATCCGTGCCTGGACTTCAAGCTGATCCCTATCAATAGATCCAACCTGTATGTTGTCATCTACAAACCCTTGTCCACCTGTCATACCACACAGGTAAACAAACCCTTGTCCACCTGTCATACCACACAGGTAAACAAACCCTTGTCCACCTGTCATGCCACACAGGTAAACAAACCCTTGTCCACCTGTCATACCACACAGGTATCGGGTGCGTATCATAACCGCTACATTTTCAAAATTTTCATTACCGCTACAAAAAACCTTACATTACCGCTACATAAAAAAGTATACATTACCGCTACATTGCCTCTTTCGTTAGGCAGCCACATATGCGTGTACAGTACAACCTATAAATGCATATTGGTGGCAATATATGCAATGTATACACCAATAAAGATACTACTGCATAAGACCCGTTTCCCCTGCTCACCACGGGGAGGTGAAAGTAGGACTTTGAGCAGGATTTTTTTTTATTGTTAAAATCAACTTTATTTCATAAAACACAAAAAATGAAAATCAAGCACTGTTCATATAGATAAAGTTCTAAGTTTTGTCAAATGTTTTTTTACACTATTGCTAAAGCCTTGAAAGCCATTTGCTTGACATATTGTTGTTTTCTAAATTTATAACCATCGATAAGTAAGCCGGCATTCCCTCAATTTGTAACAAACTTCTCAATTGTGGCCATAATGTTCAGATGAAGCTAAATAATTAAATTTCGACTACAGAGTTATTTACATAAGTATACTCATTCTGATTAGATAGTGAGTGAATTCTGTTGATTAGAACTCATATATACAGAACCATACCTGGCTAAATCGATATGTAGCGGTAATGAGTTGTTTTGGACTGATTCAATATGTAGCGGTAATGAGTTGTTTTTGGCCGGAAAAAGGTAGCGGTAATGATCGGTGGAAAATCTGAAAAAAATGTAGCGGTAATGAGTTGAAATTTTTGGCAATGTAGCGGTAATGTTGACCTCCCAGGTAAACAAACCCTTGTCCACCTGTCACACCACACAGGTAAACAAACCCTTGTCCACCTGTCACACCACACAGGTAAACAAACCCTTGTCCACCTGTCATACCACACAGGTAAACAAACCCTTGTCCACCTGTCACACCACACAGGTATACAGAATCAAGTTAACACATCTACAGACCACTGTCCACCTGTCACACCACACAGGTATACAGAATCAAGTTAACACATCTACAGACCACTGTCTACCTGTCACACCATACAGGTATAGAGAATCAAGTTAACACATCTACAAACCACTGTCTACCTGTCACACCACACAGGTATAGAGAATCAAGTTAACACATCTACAAACCACTGTCCACCTGTCACACCACACAGGTATACAGAATCAAGTTAACACATCTACAGATCACTGTCCACCTGTCACACCACACAGGTATACAGAATCAAGTTAACACATCTACAGACCACTGTCCACCTGTCACACCACACAGGTATAGAGAATCAAGTTAACACATCTACAGACCACTGTCCACCTGTCACACCACACAGGTATACAGAATCAAGTTAACACATCTACAGACCACTGTCCACCTGTCACACCACACAGGTATACAGAATCAAGTTAACACATCTACAGACCACTGTCCACCTGTCACACCACACAGGTATAGAGAATCAAGTTAACACATCTACAGATCACTGTCCACCTGTCACACCACACAGGTATACAGAATCAAGTTATCACATCTACAGACCACTGTCCACCTGTCACACCACACAGGTATACAGAATCAAGTTAACACATCTACAGACCACTGTCCACCTGTCACACCATACAGGTATAGAGAATCAAGTTAACACATCTACAAACCACTGTCCACCTGTCACACCACACAGGTATACAGAATCAAGTTAACACATCTACAGACCACTGTCCACCTGTCACACCACACAGGTATACAGAATCAAGTTAACACATCTACAGACCACTGTCTACCTGTCACACCACACAGGTATACAGAATCAAGTTATCACATCTACAGACCACTGTCCACCTGTCACACCACACAGGTATAGAGAATCAAGTTAACACATCTACAAACCACTGTCCACCTGTCACACCATACAGGTATAGAGAATCAAGTTAACACATCTACAAACCACTGTCCACCTGTCACACCACACAGGTATACAGAATCAAGTTAACACATCTACAGACCACTGTCCACCTGTCACACCATACAGGTATAGAGAATCAAGTTAACACATCTACAAACCACTGTCCACCTGTCACACCACACAGGTATACAGAATCAAGTTAACACATCTACAGACCACTCTCCGCCTGTCACACCACACAGGTATAGAGAATCAAGTTAACACATCTACAGATCACTGTCCACCTGTCACACCACACAGGTATACAGAATCAAGTGAACACATCTACAGACCACTGTCCACCTGTCACACCACACAGGTATACAGAATCAAGTTAACACATCTACAAACCACTGTCCACCTGTCACACCACACAGGTATACAGAATCAAGTTAACACATCTACAGACCACTGTCCACCTGTCACACCACACAGGTATAGAGAATCAAGTTAACACATCTACAAACCACTGTCCACCTGTCACACCACACAGGTATACAGAATCAAGTTAACACATCTACAGACCACTGTCCACCTGTCACACCACACAGGTATAGAGAATCAAGTTAACACATCTACAGATCACTGTCCACCTGTCACACCACACAGGTATAGAGAATCAAGTTAACACATCTACAGACCACTGTCCACCTGTCACACCACACAGGTATACAGAATCAAGTGAACACATCTACAGACCACTGTCCACCTGTCACACCACACAGGTATACAGAATCAAGTGAACACATCTACAGACCACTGTCCACCTGTCACACCACACAGGTATACAGAATCAAGTGAACACATCTACAGACCACTGTCCACCTGTCACACCACACAGGTATACAGAATCAAGTTAACACATCTACAAACCACTGTCCACCTGTCACACCACACAGGTAAACAGAATCAAGTTAACACATCTACAGACCACTGTCCACCTGTCACACCACACAGGTATAGAGAATCAAGTTAACACATCTACAGACCACTGTCCACCTGTCACACCACACAGGTATAGAGAATCAAGTTAACACATCTACAGATCACTGTCCACCTGTCACACCACACAGGTATACAGAATCAAGTTATCACATCTACAGACCACTGTCCACCTGTCACACCACACAGGTATACAGAATCAAGTTAACACATCTACAGACCACTGTCCACCTGTCACACCACACAGGTATACAGAATCAAGTTAACACATCTACAGATCACTGTCCACCTGTCACACCACACAGGTATAGAGAATCAAGTTAATACATCTACAGACCACTGTCCACCTGTCACACCACACAGGTATAGAGAATCAAGTTAACACATCTACAGATCACTGTCCACCTGTCACACCACACAGGTATACAGAATCAAGTTAACACATCTACAGACCACTGTCCACCTGTCACACCACACAGGTATACAGAATCAAGTTAACACATCTACAGACCACTGTCCACCTGTCACACCACACAGGTATAGAGAATCAAGTTAACACATCTACAAACCACTGTCCACCTGTTACACCACACAGGTATACAGAATCAAGTTAACACATCTACAGACCACTGTCCACCTTTCACACCACACAGGTATACAGAATCAAGTTAACACATCTACAGACCACTGTCCACCTGTCACACCACACAGGTATAGAGAATCAAGTTGATACATCTACAAACCACTGTCCACCTGTCACACCACACAGGTATAGAGAATCAAGTTAACACATCCACCTGTCACACCACACAGGTATACAGAATCAAGTTAACACATCTACAGACCACTGTCCACCTGTCACACCACACAGGTATACAGAATCAAGTTAAGACATCTACAGACCACTGTCCACCTGTCACACCACACAGGTATAGAGAATCAAGTTAACACATCTACAGACCACTGTCCACCAGTCACACCATAGAGGTATACAAAATCAAGTTAATACATCTACAGACCACTGTCCACCTGTCACACCACACAGGTATACAAAATCAAGTTAATACATCTACAGACCACTGTCCACCTGTCACACCACACAGGTATACAGAATCAAGTTAACACATCTACAAACCACTGTCCACCTGTCACACCACACAGGTATACAGAATCAAGTTAACACATCTACAGACCACTGTCCACCTGTCACACCACACAGGTATAGAGAATCAAGTTAACACATCTACAGATCACTGTCCACCTGTCACACCACACAGGTATACAGAATCAAGTTATCACATCTACAGACCACTGTCCACCTGTCACACCACACAGGTATACAGAATCAAGTTAACACATCTACAGACCACTGTCCACCTGTCACACCACACAGGTATACAGAATCAAGTTAACACATCTACAGACCACTGTCCACCTGTCACACCACACAGGTATACAGAATCAAGTTAACACATCTACAGACCACTGTCCACCTGTCACACCACACAGGTATAGAGAATCAAGTTGATACATCTACAAACCACTGTCCACCTGTCACACCACACAGGTATAGAGAATCAAGTTAACACATCCACCTGTCACACCACACAGGTATACAGAATCAAGTTAACACATCTACAGACCACTGTCCACCTGTCACACCACACAGGTATACAAAATCAAGTTAATACATCTACAGACCACTGTCCACCTGTCACACCACACAGGTATACAAAATCAAGTTAATACATCTACAGACCACTGTCCACCTGTCACACCACACAGGTATACAGAATCAAGTTAACACATCTACAGACCACTGTCCACCTGTCACACCACACAGGTATACAGAATCAAGTTAACACATCTACAGACCACTGTCCACCTGTCACACCACACAGGTATACAAAATCAAGTTAACACATCTACAAACCACTGTCCACCTGTCACACCACACAGGTATACAAAATCAAGTTAATACATCTACAGACCACTGTCCACCTGTCACACCACACAGGTATAGAGAATCAAGTTAACACATCTACAGACCACTGTCCACCTGTCACACCACACAGGTATACAGAATCAAGTTATCACATCTACAAACCACTGTCCACCTGTCACACCACACAGGTATACAAAATCAAGTTAACACATCTACAAACCACTGTCCACCTGTCACACCACACAGGTATACAGAATCAAGTTAACACATCTACAGACCACTGTCCACCTGTCACACCATACAGGTATACAGAATCAAGTTAACACATCTACAAACCACTGTCTACCTGTCACACCACACAGGTATAGAGAATCAAGTTAACACATCTACAGATCACTGTCCACCTGTCACACCACACAGGTATACAGAATCAAGTTAACACATCTACAGACCACTGTCCACCTGTCACACCACACAGGTATACAGAATCAAGTTAACACATCTACAGAACACTGTCCACCTGTCACACCACACAGGTATACAGAATCAAGTTAACACATCTACAGACCACTGTCCACCTGTCACACCACACAGGTATACAGAATCAAGTTAACACATCTACAGACCACTGTCCACCTGTCACACCACACAGGTATACAGAATCAAGTTAACACATCTACAGACCACTGTCCACCTGTCACACCACACAGGTATACAGAATCAAGTTAACACATCTACAGATCACTGTCCACCTGTCACACCACACAGGTATACAGAATCAAGTTAACACATCTACAGACCACTGTCCACCTGTCACACCACACAGGTATACAGAATCAAGTTAACACATCTACAGACCACTGTCCACCTGTCACACCACACAGGTATACAGAATCAAGTTAACACATCTACAAACCACTGTCTACCTGTCACACCACACAGGTATACAGAATCAAGTTAACACATCTACAGACCACTGTCCACCTGTCACACCACACAGGTATACAGAATCAAGTTAACACATCTACAGACCACTGTCCACCTGTCACACCACACAGGTATACAGAATCAAGTTAACACATCTACAAACCACTGTCTACCTGTCACACCACACAGGTATACAGAATCAAGTTAACTTGAAAGAAATTAAAAGTTTAATTGCATTCTTCCTTTTTGGTTGGTAACAATTTTCATTGCAAAATATGTGTCTTTGAGGTAATTTTAAATGTTTTATAGTTTATGTTTCAAATACTTGTATACTGTAGAAGCACAAATTTTCGTTGGCATAAAATTTCGTTGTTTTGTCATCAAAAATAGTTTCGTGGACATTTAATTTCGTTGTTTTGAAAGTAACCCTATTCAATATATAGTTAAATAAATTTTCGTGTGGGATTTAATTTCGTTGAATATTGTTAACAACGAAATTTTTGTGCTTTTACAGTATGTATTTAATTTACATGAACGTTTCCATATTTTTATAAGAAAATTTTTCTACATGTACATGTACTTTTGTAGGCAGCTTGCTCTTGTACAGAGAAATGTTCTGTTTGCGACCATCTTCAGAAAAACATTTGTCAGGTAGGAAAAAAACAGACAGTGTTCTTGGCTCACAATCCTCACTTTTTATTAACCCCTTAGAGGGTTTTAACCAGATTCTATAAATCCACAGAAAGTTGTTGGTCACGAATGTGCATGATTTATTCTTTGAATGAATCATTTCCACATCTTGAAGCCTGCAAGTTGGAACATAGATTATATATAGCTCGCACCACTTTACTCCATTTTTTTAAAATGTACATAAACAATTTTTTTTAAGTTTTAGCCATTTAAAGTGGAAAGATGCTGGTTATTGAACTTGGTTAATTTTATGTCCCAACAATTGCCATTGATATTGTTTTGATGTCACTTCCTGCCATTTTCCAAATTAAAAAAATTGTTCTTTGCCTTTTATATCAGACATGCAAAACCTATAGATACTTTTCTATCCGATGGAATGAGTGTTTGGTAAAGTATATTACTTAATATCAAGGGTATATGGAAGTAACACATGTAGCTGTCCTATATACCTTAACCATCATATTGTTGGTTTAGTGTGTACAACACTTCTCTCCAATCTCATTATTTTTCTAAGTTCTGCAAGATTTGACTGTATTTACATGTAGAAATGTTTTCCCTTTCTTTTTGAATGTTTCAGTGCCCCTGCACATGTTTCAGTAATTATATGGATAGATGTACCCACCAAATTAACAAAACTGATGGCTACAAACCCTGCCCTGGTACGCTAACTGAATCATAATATTTTGTGTAATTTGGAATATAAAGAAGAAAGCTGTATATAATTAATTGTTTTGCTTGTTTGATTTTTGTGTGGTTTAGGACCCCATAAACACTGGCAGATGCAGTCTTCAGACAAAGAAAATAAATCGACTAATGTACAGCCATGTAAACCTGTTTGTACAGCCATGTAAGTCATATCTATATGCATGAGTTATGAAGAGTTACATCTACATGTTTTAATTTAACTAGTCTTTTTCAGAGTTTCTGAGAATGCATTCTTTATTATAGTATTTAAAGTTCCAAATTCTCAACAAAATCATTCACCAATTTCTAACATTATGCAGTAATTACAAGTGTTAAAATTTATTTCAAGCAATTTATAAGGATTAGATAGCCACAGCACAAGTTATTGCCCTTTACTAGCAATATGTACATAAGTCTATGCTTATAGATTCTCCCTCTCATGCTTATTTATAGTTCTAGATCAACAGAATGTCAGGCAACAAAGGGATGTAACTGGTGTAGTGGCGGCCATTACAAGAACCTCCCTCTCTGCACAGAGAAGTGTGTTCAGGACCAGTGAGTACTGATGTACAGAAACAAAGTCTTCGTAAAACAAGATCTCATTCATTTAGTTTCATTTTGAGGAGTTTATTAATAGACATGTGTCCCTTACATTTTTTTTAATTTTTAGAAAAGTGTTGCAGTTTAAGCTGGCTTGTGGTAGAAATAAAACAAAAAGCTTTACAGTGGAAGAAAAGAAAACGATTGGTAAACAAATTCTCCAGACTGCTCAGAAGAGATTAAAAAAGTACTCCAAAGCAAGGGCAAATCATTCCAATAAGAACTGCACAGTATGTGCTTCTTTTAATTAGAAAAATTATTCACAAATCATTGTAAAAGATGGAAAATAAATTTGTAACCAATTCCAACTATATACATATTTAAAAAAGAAGTGTGTTTACAGGTTGAGTTTGTCTTTGAAGAGAAGAATATGTTTACAGGTTTGAGTTTGTTAGTAAGTAGAGATGGGTTCGTTTACAGGTTGAGTTTGTGTCTTTCTAGAGAGGAGTGTGTCCACAGGTTGAGTTGATGTCTTTGTAGGGAGGAGTGTGTTTACAGGTTGAGTTTATGTCTTTGTAGGGAGGAGTTTGTTTACAGGTTGAGTTTGGTTCTTTGTAGGGAGGAGTGTGTTTACAGGTTGAATTGATGACTTTGTTGGGAGGAGTTTGTTTACAGGTTGAGTTTGTGTCTTTGTAGGAAGGAGTGTGTTTACAGGTTAAGTTTGTGACTTTGTTTGGAGTAGCATGTTTACAGGTTGAGTTGATGACTTTGTAGGGAGGAGTGTGTTTACAGGTTGAGTTTGTGACTTTGTTGGGAGGAGTTTGTTTACAGGTTGAGTTGATGTTTTTGTAGGGAGGAGTGTGTTATAGGTTGAGTTTGTAGGGAGGAGTGTGTTTACAAGTTGAATTGATGTCTTTGTAGGGAGGAGTGTGTTTACAGGTTGAGTTTGTGACTTTGTAGGAAGGAGTGTGTTTACAGGTTGAGTTGATGTCTTTTTAGGGAGGAGTGTGTTTACAGGTTGAGTTTGTGATTTTAGGAAGGAGTGTGTTTACAGGTTGAGTTGATGTCTTTGTAGGGAGGAGTGTGTTTACAGGTTGAGTTGATGTCTTTGTAGGGAGGAGTGTGTTTACAGGTTGAGTTTGTGTCTTTGTAGGAAGGAGTGTGTTTACAGGTTAAGTTTGTGACTTTGTTTGGAGTAGTGTGTTTACAGGTTGAGTTGATGTTCATGAAGGGATGAGTGTGTTTACAGGTTGAGTTTGTGTCTTTGTAGGGAGGAGTGTGTTTACAAGTTGAGTTGATGTCTTTGTAGGTAGGAATGTGTGTACAGGTTGAGTTTGTGACTTTGTAGGAAGGAGTGTGTTTACAAGTTGAGTTGATGTCTTTTTAGGGAGGAGTGTGTTTACATGTTGAGTTTGTGATTTTAGGAAGGAGTGTGTTTACAGGTTGAGTTGATGTCTTTGTAGGGAGGAGTGTGTTTACAGGTTGAGTTGATGTCTTTGTAGGGAGGAGTGTGTTTACAGGTTGAGTTGATGTCTTTGTAAGGAGGAGTGTGTTTACAGGTTGAGTTGATGTCTTTGTAGGGAGGAGTGTGTTTACAGGTTGAGTTGATGTCTTTGTAGGGAGGAGTGTGTTTACAGGTTGAGTTTGTGTCTTTGTAGGGAGGATTGTGTTTACAGGTTGAGTTTGTGTCTTTGTAGGAAGGAGTGTGTTTACAGGTTGAGTTTGTGTCTTTGTAGGAAGGAGTGTGTTTACAGGTTGAGTTTGTGTCTTTGTAGAGAGGGATTTGTTTACAGGTCGAGTTGATGTCTTTGTAGGGAGGAGTGTGTTTACAGGTTGAGTTTGGTTCTTTGTAGGGAGGAGTGTGTTTACAGGTTGAGTTTGTGTCTTTGTAGAGAGGGATTTGTTTACAGGTTGAGTTGATGTCTTTGTAAGGAGGAGTGTGATTACAGGTTGAGTTGATGTATTTGTAGAGAGGGATTTTTTTACAGGTTGAATTTGTGTCTTTGTAGGGAGGAGTGTGTTTACAGGTGGAGACCACTGATGAGACAGAGGTACCCCAGACCTGGCTGACAGAGCTGAGTGAATCTGTCCATGTTATCTTCAATGATTCCAGGGGTTCTCCAAGAAATATTGTCTACACTACCAACAGGACAGAACCCACAGAGTATATAAAGTTATTTAAAAACTGAGAATAATTTGATTTTACATGACAACTGTATGGATAATAATATCTGGTCTGAAAGAATAGATTTCAGTACATATTTCAAATAACTTGGGATATAATTGAAAAATTTTCGTTAAAACTATTCAATAAATGTTAATAAAATTATTAAACCAACTTGCATCAGGATTATACAGAAGTTTCGTCAAAAAAATAAATCGGTAAAAATTGTTTAATATAAGACAAAAGAATGAGTGCACCTAAGCTATGAGAGTTGGATCCCGATGTTTTACGCAAAATAAAATTCCAAAATTCATTAAATTTATGTTTTATAGGTATTAAACAATGTCTTAAGAGCAGGTTTTGGTATATTATATTACATGGAAGTATTAAATAATGCCGAACGACACTAGCTTTTTAGACAGGGTTCAAACAGTTTTGTCTCATTTCTATTGTTATTCATGTGCATACCAGTTTTCAACGACTTTGTTTACATCGAGCCGCAACTTGGCCATTTTTCTTATTTGCACAGAATATGTATTTTAACTTAAACTTATACATATCCAAAGGACAATGTTGGCCAAGTTGCGTCTCATATCTAATTAAAAAAAAAATGTCCCCAAACTAGGGTCGAGATACCTACTAAATTAACCGGTCACTGAGCAACAACGATTGATATTATAATCACCTTTCTCACGTGACCTTCTGCTGTTCAATACTCTAACGCTTTCATTGAAACATTCATTGTGTTTAAGTCTCTGTTGTGACATTATCTATCGTACTTCCAACTTCAAACTATGAGAGGTTTGAAGATAATATGTCTCTTTTTTATCTTTATGCTTTTCATTAGCGGTGTTTTGAAAGAATTCTGGTACATGTATTGACAGTGTCATTAGTAAGTACATGTATAGGCTTATGTCGCCTCTGTATTATGGTCTACACAGCGAGACATTTACCCCATCCCTTAACATTAGAATCATTTGATAATTGTGCACCATGAAATCAACACGATCTCTCTCTCTTCTCCATTTCAATTCGCAATGTGAAAAAATCGTATGTTCTAATGTTTACATTCCACAACCATGCGGTTTAAATGTCTCCGCCTATTTGCGGATATAGATTCGAAAGTGGTCCCGTTCAAAAAAGGCTTTTACATGTTCTTTTCAATTACATTTTCTGTAATTATAGAAATATGTATGACAAAAAATTCTAGAAATAAATATCAAAAGCATATGCTTGCACATTAATCATAGATTAATTTAGCGATATATTGTAATGTTAAGCTTAAAATGGGTAGCCGAAAAGGTTCCAAATGACGTACTAAAGTGCACTCATGCTTTATCTGCTTTTCATTTTCAGTGCTAGAGTTGAACTAACATTAAAAAAAGTGAACTTAACAGAAGAGCTGGAAACAGCACTAACTCTGAGAAATTACATCCAAAAAGTGATTCATGGAATTGTGGAGAAGAAGACAACATCAGACATTGCTGCTTCAATATCTGGACTCTGGCCATGGGAGGTAACTCTGCAGATCTTATAATGGGAAAAAGTATTTTGTAGACAGAGATGTATTTTTTGCCAGTATAGTAAACTGTATCATGCATGCTTGAAAAAAAATTTCGTGGGTTACTCGTAAATATGATTATTTAATGAATCAATATGTTAACAAAATAAACGTTCCAGGGAAGTAAATTTGTGGGTAAGGGTGACCTACAAAAATTGGTCCCGCAGGAACAATGCTGATTCTACAGTAAATATTGAAAGAATATAAAAACCAATATAATGGAAAGACTTAAAACTAGAATTGAGATTTTCTTAAATGTATACTGACACGCAAAAGAAACGCAGCAAGCAGTTATCTACAAATGTTTGATTTTTCTACCTTATGTTTTCAAAACAGAATAAAGTAAGGCTAAACTCACTTTTCAGATCATCAGAGATTTGATAAAAATGTTAAATGTTTATCTTTTACTTTACTAAGTTAAATATGACTGTTAAAACACCCCCCCCCCTACCAGCCATTCAAGAAAAACATGCAAGACTTCCCTAAAAATCAATTGCAGCTTAATTTCTAGATACATTAGGTTCATTAATATCGAGATTTGAGCAAAGGAATTATTCTTTGGCATTTTTCAATGCCCGTTTTTCAGATAATTTGGTCGACTTTTCTCTAACTTAGAGCAGTGTAGCCAAGCTTGGACTTCCAGTACAAGGACTTTCCTTAATGCATATGGTACGTAAGACCCTGTTGAGGCGTAATGTAGTGAAATTTTGCATCAGCAACTCTCCATCACCTTTACATTGAAATTTTCCAACAAGAGCAATGGATATGCATACATAACCCATTTTCAAGTAGCCTTAGCAACTTTCCGGGAAACGAAAGGAGAGTTTATTTTTTGATATATTGCTGATTACTTATGATGAACAGTAAAAAATCCTTAAAACTCCATAATATTGCCAAATGATTTCAGCTTTCCTGGCCCTGTGGTTCTTGAGAAGAAGATTTTTAAAGATTTGTTCTATATATTTCTATGTAAAATTTTTGATTTCTCCCCGGGGGTCATGATTTTAACAACTTAATATCTACACTACCCAAGGATGGTTCCACATAAGTTTCAGCTTTCCTGGCCCTGTGGTTCTTGAGAAGATTTTTTAGTGACCCCACCCATTTTTTGTTTATCTACCCTTGTAAGGGGACTTGGAATATTTTAACAATTTAAACTCCCCTTTACCCAAGGATGCTTTGTACCAAGTTTGGTTAAAATTGGCTCATTGGTTCTTGAGAAGAAGTCGAAAATGTGAAAAGTTGACAGACAGACAGACGGACGACGCCTTTGGCTCAGGTGAGCTAAAAATGAATAAAACTGATTTTAAACATTTCAATTGACTGAGACTACTGTTTCAATGATTTGTTTTCAAGATGTAAAGGGAAACATAGAGGATATTCAATGATTTGTTGTTGGATATTAAATTTATTTCAGGAATAGGAAAGATTTTTGCGATATTTTCACAGTGTCATCGGCTACATGACGTAATAGCTGAGCAATTGAGATGTCAAAGTTAGTTGATTTTAGATAGAAAACATTGTAAACATTCATTTCAACACTTAAGGAGTAATTTTCGCAGTTTTATTCTATGACAGAATGATTTATGTATCTATTTTATAACAGACCTAGAAGTATTTTTTGCAACACTTTGTTATGGGGAGAAAATTGTGCGTTTACTATACTGTACTTCATTACATTAATAACCTTAAACTATATAAAATAAAATATTTTTCTATTATAATTTTTTTTTTAAAATTCTCCATTTCATACTTTTCACATTTTCATCTTCTTCTCAAGAACCACAGGGCCAATTTCAACCAAACTTGGTGGGTGTTGGATTCTTCAAATGAAGGGCCATTTCTGATTATGAATTAGTGAAAAATTAATAGCATTTTTAAAAAATCTTCTTCTCAAGAACCACTGGGCCAGAAACGATGAAACTCATGTGGAATCATCCTCAGGTAGTGTAGATTCAAGTTTGTTCAAATCATGACCCCCCAAGGCTAGGGTGGGGCCAAAATGACCAAATTTACATAGGAATATATAGGAAAAATCTTTAAAAATCTTCTTCTTAAGAACCACTGGGTCAGGAAAGATGAAACTCATGTGGAATCATCCTCAGGTAGTGTAGATTCAAGTTTGTTCAAATCATGAACCCCGGGGCTAGGGTGGGGCCAAAATGACCAAAGTTTTACATAGGAATATATAGGAAAAATCTTTAAAAACTTAAGAACCACTGGGTAGGAAAGATGAAACTCATGTGGAATTTTCAGGTAGTGTAACAAGTTTGTCAAATCATGAACCCCGGGGCTAGGGTGGGGCCAAAATGGCCGACCAAAGTTTTACATAGGAATATATAGGAAAAATCTTTAAAAATCTTCTTCTTAAGAACCACTTGAAACTCATGTGGAATCATCCTCTTAAATCATATATAAAATGGCCGACCAAAGTTTTACATAGGAATATATAGGAAAAATCTTTAAAAATCTTCTTCTCAAGAACCACTGGGCCAGGAAAGATGAAACTCATGTGGAATCATCCTCAGATAGTGTAGATTCAAGTTTGTTCAAATCATGACCCCCCGGGGCTAGGGTGGGGCCAAAATGGCCAACCAAAATTTTTCATAGGAATATTTAGGAAAAATCTTTTAAAAATCTTCTTAAGAATCATTGAGAAAGGAAACATGAAACTTAAATGAAATTATCCTAATTTAACATTCAAACAGGGTGGGGCTACAAAGTTTTACAAGGAATATATAAAATCTTTAGTCAAGAACCACTATGCCTGTGAAACTCATGTGGCAGGTATTGTAGATTCAAGTTTGAATCATATTGCCAAAATGGCTGACCAAAGTATTACATAGGAATATATAGGAAAAACTTTAAAAATCTTCTTCTCAAAAACCTTTGGGCCAGGAAAAAAACTAATGTGGAATCATCCTCAGTTAGTGAAGATTCAAGTTTGCAAATCATGACCTCTGGGGCTAGTTTTGGGCCGAAAATGGCTGACCAAAGTTGTACATAAGGATATATAGGGAAACCTTTTAAAATCTTCTTTTCAAGTACTTCAAAGCCATGTTTAGTGATATTTTTCTATTTTAAATGGAATCATCCTCAGGTAGTGTAGATTGTACATTGTTCAAATCATGACACCCAGGAGGGTTCATTTCCCACAGTAAACTTTTTATATGTGCTTTTTCCTATATATTATTTATATCTTATATATTTTACCTAAATGCAAGTGGATGCTGCATCAACTGTTTAATCATGGAAATAGATGTAGTCATTAAGCAAAGAATAAAAGAAGATCTAGTTGTATGTTATATCAATTTAATATACAATTTTCTGCCACCTGCTAAGTGACAAATGTATTACAATAAGGTTTAATGCATCAAGAAGCTCATGACTAGGGTCCTAAGAAAGAAACATATTTCTTCCTTTCATCTTTTTTATAGATGAGAAAATAAAAACTGGTATACATGCATAAAATGGAGGGAAAAAAGCTGAACAAAATAAAACATATCATCAATTTATATGATAAAAATTCTAACATCTTGACAATGTCTGGATATTGAGTGTGAAACCTTAAGTATCACTTGAAGTTGATTTTTCCAAAGCTCTGCCTGAATTAATACGTGTACCGTAGCTACTAGTATTGATTCTGACAAAATGAATCCTATATATATACTGGAAAATTTTTGCTTTTTTAAATTTTGCCCTCATTGCAAGGTGGATAATATTTGAATTTGAAATTAAAAGGAAACAACATCATCTGTATATAAACTTGTGTTTGGGTAAATAAAATGGGCAAAATTTTTTGGGAGGGAAATCATAACAACAAGCAAAAATTTTCATCTTAGCAGACAAGTCACAAAAAAGAGACAGTGTTTCAACAATTTTCCAAAACACCATGTTTTTAAATTATGTCAAAAAGTAAACTTTAAAGGTGATTCAAAATACCCTAAATGATATAAATATAGAATTTTTCGAACAGTAAAAATGTCTTAGGTACAATCATAGATGACATATAATTTACACATCAGCAAAAATGGCCATCTTTAAAAAATTGTCCTTCCCCAAGCAACTGGCAAAAACTTGTTTGACTCAAAACTTTGGTGTACAGTTTTTTAAAGAAAATCATTCTGTATATTTCAAAATTTGGGAGGAGGGGGATCTTTACCTAGCTTAATTATTATCAGCCCATTTTTTTTTTCAAAATCCTAAGTCTGGAAAGGGCAAACCAATGTATTTTAAAGATGGCATCACATCACTTGACAAAAGCAATGCATATTTAGTACATGTATATTCATATTATAAATTTTAATGGTTTTATCAATTCAAATATTTCAGAACACTTACATGTATATTTATTGGACAAGTTTTTATTTGGCTTTTTACAATGTTTCATTAAACATGATATGTACTACATGTATTATATTGAGCGCACAGAAACATAAGATAAACAGTCATAATTTTAGGGCTTATTATTCTAAGGTTCAGTATAATACTGTACTACTAGTTACATATTACTTGAAAAAGTTTTTAATGTGCATGCATTGTTTAGAGAGAGAGAGGCTTGTTATTTATCAATGTTATCTAAAACCATGTTGATAATGCTTTGAGTAGTTTTAAAAATAGAACACTGTTATAATGTACATCCATGGAAATTAATGTAAACTTTGCTGATCATATGACCATATGTCAAAAAAATATATTTTGGGAAAAAAAATTTCAAACCTTGTCTTTAAATGAGGCACAATCATTCTAGCACACCCCTTTTCTCCTTGACAAGGGAATTTGTTATTTTTGGCTAATTTGAAAAAATTCCAATGACATTGACCTATTAAAGAAAGAATCCTTAAAGGTCCATAGATATTGAACATATCAACTTCAAATCTGTGTCTATGCACCTTTAAATGATTGTGAAGTTGTTTTGCTTATTTAAAAGTACACAATTTTCTGACATTGACCTTGATGACTTGATATTGTGACATGTAGCATTACTGGTATCATGATTATGGACAAACTAAGTCTGCAACAGTCAGTACAATTCCCTCCAAGATACACAATGCAGATTAACCATTCAATCATAAACCATACTCCTGTTAAAAACAAGAGATGTTTCTGAAACACTTATGTCCCCCCTCCCCCAAATGTATTTTTTTCTAAGTCCAAAATGGTCCCATCATACCCAAAACAGAAGTAGATATTCTTATAATAAATCTGTTTAGAAAATTTCATTTTAGTATGTGCAACCTCTGGAAAAAAAAATGAACAGAAACAGCAAATTATTGGATTTTTTTTAAGTACAAGGGGGATAATGAAAATGAATGGAATGGAAACTAATGGTGGACTGACAGACAGACCAACAGACAGCAGCAAAGCAATATGCATAATACTTGTGCCAGAGTTATTTTTAAAATTGTTAATTTCTACTGATAAAGCAAATAATTTTTTTTATTTATGAGGAATGGGTTGGTCATCACATTTCACATGTATCTACAGACCGGATAGGGACAGTTCTAAAAACCTCAGGGTAAATAGAATCACAGAAACTCTTAAGAGAAGAAAATAAGAAATGTTGATTTTTTTGGTTGTAACACATTTCTCATGTATCATCAAACCAGCTCAAGACTACCTACTTCCTACTCTACGTAGGAAAATTGTAAAAAGATGTGTTTCAGTTCAGCACTTCAAGATAAATTGAATCACAGAAATGAAAAATAAGAGATGTTTCTCTGTATTAAAAAAAATTCATTGTGCCAGGTGTTAAAATTTTTTAATATACTGGTAAAAGCTATTTTTTTATGGTAATCACATTACCCACGTGTCATCAGACTGGATTTGGACAAGTAACTGTCTCTTCCACTGTGCCAGCTACTTAAAATTTTATATATAATAATATAGCTAATTTTATGGTCATCACATTTCCCATGTGACGTCAAACTGGCTATAGCCTAGAAACGCCCTCTTCAAGTTTGCCAGCTGGTTAAATTTTAAATATACTTCATATTTAGCAATTTTTTTATGGTTATCACATTTCCTACGTAACTGGACGTTTAACTCGTCAAACACGTCATACTGGATTTGGGTAAGTAAACCACTCCTTGACTTATTTAAAGTAAAGTTGCAAAAGAAGATGAGTTTTCAACTCCAAAGATGTCTTAATCACTGAGCCCACAATAATCAAGAAAATGAACAATACCAAACCTAAAGGAACCTCCTTTTCAGTTTTGTACCTTCTATAGTTTCCTAAATTGATTTGGGATCTTGCTCAAGAAAATGTGTTTTAAACTCCAAGGAGTCTTAATCACAGAGCCAACAAAAAGACAGAATAGGAAATCATAAATTCCTGCACCAGATAAAGCTTGTAACAAATATTCATATACATATATTTAACTAATACATGTTAGAAATGGTTGAAATAATATATATTTTTTTAATCTCGTATTTCTGCGAGAGAAATGTTAGAAATAGTTAAAATATTTAAATATATAATTTTTTAATCTCGTATTTCTGTGGCAACATTATTCATGTAGCCAGACTCAGTACAGATACTGGACAGTGACGGGAACTTCCTGTCAGACATACAGACATAACAATGGCCTGAGCCAGGATAGCAACATGACAACATATCCGACCACTAACTCAGTACATATACTGGACTGTGACGGGAATTCCTGCTACAAAATACTGCTGACAACATACAAGGAAATATTTATTCACCTTGGCTTAAGCTATACAGAGGACAAAGTTAAACTCTAATAAATTAAGATAAAACTGGGAACAGACTTTTAACAAGACTACTGAGATCAAATTGAGTTGTTCTTCAGGAAGCCTGTTGCAGGATGATACTAGGCTATATAAAATTTAAAATTATGGTTCTCAGGTTTCCGTTTTGAGGTATAGGTACATCCTATACTTTATCATATTCTTGATAACATAAAGAGTGGGTAATGCAGAGATGAAACTGAAAAAAATTTCCATCCTCACTACAATGCCTACGATGTTTACACGTTGATAAGCAATGGATAAAGCAGTCCTATTGATCAGACATGGAAAGTATATCTATATATAGAGTTTTCATCATTGTTTTACAGAACATTCAAATTAAAAATATGCCTTCCTCATCTACTTAATCGCCAAATAAAATGATTTTTAAAATGCCTCCTGCTCTCATCTGTTTTGGAGAAAATTGATCCGAGAACCAGAGAATTAAATTTATGTGGCCTAACATAAAGCTCAATTCTCTGTTTTGGTCCACAGGAGATCATATTAAGGGGAGTAACTTTCATACAGACATCTCCATTTGTTTCTTCTTTTCTGGATTATGCTCAATTTACATGACGAGTTTTAGAATTTTAGAGTATGGGTCCTGTAAGGTAAATTACCCAGAGAGTTATGATGATGACACTCACCTACTGTGGGTATATAAGATGATGACACACACCTACTGTGGGTATATCAGATGACGACACACACCTACTGTGGGTATATCAGATGACGACACACACCTACTGTGGGTATGATCACAAGACAACAACATATAAAGAATCTGGCACCTTTTCCAGTCCCCTTTATTCTTGTATTTAAGTTTTATATATGCAATTATAAATTAAAGACAACTTTCTTTTAAAGAGACTACTGAGGTAAACTTACAAGTTAGTTTACCACCGTAGAGATTTAAGACGAAAACTACCTGACACAGATACAGACACCACAACACGATGTTTAGTCCATGTTGGACATAAATATAAGACTGTGATGAAGAATTCCTGTCACAGGCACCACAACACCGATGTCTAGGCTGTGAGGACAAATTCAACATCTTGATGTCTAATCTAGGTTCATCAGTACACACATTAGACTGGAATGGAAAATACCTAACATAGATACAGACATCAGGACAGAATGCTAAAGATGATCCAGGTTCTGTCAGTACAGATCATGGATAAAGACGGTCAACTCCTGTCACAGATAAAGACATTGCAACACCTTGTCAATCCATACCATCTTAGTGCAGATAATTGACAAGGACGGGCTCTTTCTATCACAGACAGAGACAAAACAACACGATGGCTTGGGCTGTGATGACAAAATTAACCAACTCAGGGTAGGATCAAAAGCCAACAACATATCCTTATAGCCACCAACTCAGTACAGATGTTGGATAGTGATGGTCACTACCTGTCACAGATAGAGACAAAACAACACGATGGCCTGGGCCAAGATGACAAAAATTAACCAAACCAGGGTAGGATCAAAAGTCAACAACACATCTTTATAACTACCAACTCAGTACAGATGCTAGATAGTGATGGTCACTACCTGTCACAGATAGAGACAAAACAACACGATGGCCTGGGCCAAGATGACAAAAATTAACCAAACCAGGGTAGGATCAAAAGCCAACAACACATCTTTATAACTACCAACTCAGTACAGATGCTAGATAGTGATGGTCACTTCCTGTCACAGTTAGAGACAAAAAAAAAAAAAAAATGACAAAAATTAACCAACTTAGGGGAGGATCAAAAGACTATGGCACGCCAAATTCACAAAAATGAGCTAAATATAGTTTCCCAATTTACATACCATGAACTATAGTTAACAATTTGTTAACTATAGTTTTCATCTGTAAAACTATATTTAACAGTTGTTAACTATAGGTTACGATGCTAATCATAGTTTATCTGTCTGTAATAAAATGTTAACAATGGAGTTTGTTGATAATGATAGATTAACGTTTCACAATCATGAACTATGGTTAAGAGTTGTTAATCATACTTTCACAAATCGTGAAACTATATTTATCAAATTATCAAGTAAAGTAAGAGCTGTAAACCATAGTTTACAAATTTTGATACTGTATTTATCAGATAATCTATGCTTTGCAATCGCAAATGCTTGTTTTCAGTGTTAAGTATAGTTCACGGATCAGTATAGTTCACGGTTCTTAACTGCCGTTTACAGATGTAAAATATAGATTAACATAGTTAATTATAGTTTACAGTCCATAAACTATGTTTAGCTCATTTTTTTGTGAATTTGGCGTGCCATAAAAGACTATAACACATCTTCATATCCACCATCTCAGTACAAATACTGGACAAGGACGGAAAATTCCTGTCATTACTGACGAGGAAATATTAATTATTAATTACTGCGATCAGATTGTTATTGTTATGATTAAAGCCTCCATAAGGAGGAAGATAACAGTCCCCTTTATTTAGAATTTTGGATATATACACGTAGTACAATTTACATATCAAGAACAACCTTCTCTTGACCACTTGGGTCTGGTATTGGGAATTTATTTATAGAGACCCTGTATTAAGATGTTGACAACACCGGGTCTGTCTGGGTCAGTTCAAACAACAACAACAAATAGAAAACCTGGTATGTTATTCATAGAAACCCAGCATTGATACGATTCCATGCTCATTATAGATGATCCACGTTCTGTAAGTACAGATCATGGATAAAGATGGTAAAATCCTGACACAGATTAAGACGTCACAACACCTTGTCAGTCTATATTCACTCAGTACAGATGCTGGACAGGGACGGTCGATTCCTATCGCAGATGGAGACATTGCAGCATTATGTTTACTTAATCCTTATTCACTTAAGTACAGAAAATGGATAAAGACAGTCAATTCCTATAATAGCGTAAGACCTTGCAACACCAATTTTTTTGTCAATCCATACAGATAATTGACAAGGACGGGCTCTTTCTATCACAGATAAAGATTATGTTAATTAATATTCTTTTTTACTAAAGTATAGAAAATGGATAAAGACAGCCAACACCTTGTCAATCCATACTATCTCAGTACAGATAATTGACAAGGATGGGCTCTTTCTATCACAGACAGAGACAAAACAACACGATGGCCTGGGCTGTCATGACAAAATTAACAACTCACTGGGTAGGATCAAAGAACAAAACATCCTTATAATCACCAACTCAGTACAGATGCTAGATAGTGACGGTCACTACCTGTCACAGACAGAGACAAAACAACACGATGGCCTGGGCTGTCATGACAAAAATTATAACCAACTCAGGGTAGGATCAAAAGCCAACAACATATCCTTATAACCATCTACTCAATACAGATGCTAGATAGTGACGGTCACTTCCTGTCAGAGAGACAAAACAACACGATGGCTTGGGCTGTCATGACAAAATTTACCAACTCAGGTTAGGATCAAAAGCCAACAACATATCCTTAAAACCACCAACTCAGTACAAAATACTGGACAAGGATGGAAAATTCCTGTCACTACTGACAAGAAGAAATATATATCCACCAAGACCTATATTGTAGTGGACAAAGTTAAATATATTACTGCAATCAGATTTTGTCATTGTTAACATGATCAAAGAACTTTGAAATTTTGAATACATCTACAGTTAAAATTTAGAATGACAGGTACTTTAAGCAATACCAGTGAGGTACAAGTTTTTATTTAAAGCCTGCATTATGACAACACACACCTAACTACTCCGGAATGGATGCTATTCAACAACCCCCTTTTCTTGAATAAAAAAGTATAATTTGAATTTATACAATTATAATTGGGAAGAACCCTCTTTAAGTAGGACTAGTGAGGTTTGAGATAATGAACCCTCCATTAGGAAGAAGAGAAGACTCACTGTCTCGGGGTTGGACCACGGAACACAGCATTTAGAGGTTTAAAACGATTAAAATTAAGAATAACTTGCTTTAAACTTATTTTAAATACTTTCAAATTCTTTAACTTCAGCAATAAAGTAGGTTATTTATTGGAAGACTATTTTTGAAGACATAATTATTTTATAAACTAGCTGAGTACAGAAGGAATTGTACTGATGAGAAGAGCTCCAAATAATTAAGATGAGCAGACTGACAGAGAGTCAGAGACACCCCCTGAAACCTCTACTGTCTGAGTAAATGGTCACAGACTGACAGACACCCTCTCAACCTTAAAGTAACCAAGTATAAAATGAAAGTTTTGACAAGGATGGTTATCTAGATGAAAATAATCAGTAATATTTAAGGACAGCCATCTCTTATAAGTTCTGACAATATTGAATACACCTCTTGTAGAACCAGAAATTAGCTAAAAACTTTTTTAAAAAGTCCCCTCACCCATCTTCTGACAGAATTAAAGAGGTTTACTTGAATTAACTAGAAATTGAAAAAGACTGTCACTTGTAAATTTTACTGACAGCGTAAAAGAGTACCAGGTACCTTAATAAATTGACGAGACCTTGATGAGAGTACCTGAATAAATTGACGAGACTTTGATAAATGTCACCTCTTGTAACTACAAGTACAGTACTAAAAACAGGATAAGAGGTGTAATTGCAGTAAATAAAGTGACATTAAGGCAGTCACTTCCTGATTATCTTGTCTACCCAGTAACATCCTAAGGATAAGGAGGTGTGCCAGAATCATAGTGTAATAGGATACTATTACTAAGGCCAAAGATATTAAAATATGTACAAACAGTATTGAGGGGGAAAAAAGAAATGTGAACAATAAACCCCTGCACATGCACTTTGTTACATGGAAAAAAACCTAGAAAAATATTTCAATTAAAAAGTCTGACAAATGCCAGCACTGAAACTGATATTTTATGCATGAAAACAAAAAGAAACTGGTTTGGAAATTCTAGAACTGATGTCATGGATATTGGAGTAGTGTCTGGTGTTTTAACATGTTTAAGGAGTTTTCCACAGAGTTTTTTGCAAGTACTTTTTTCCCTTTCATGTGATTGGCATTTGGAATTCATAAACAGTCTATTGCTTTGTTTATAACCTAAATTAGAATAAAATTATGTGTAACATGTTCTACCAAAGAGACTTAAATAAAGTAGAGAACTACAATCAAACATGAGGTACAGGGCTTTGCTTTAACATTTTGACCTTTTTCTCCAGGATAAAATATCTTTCTGGCTGGAGAGAACAAGGAATCTGACACCAGGGAAATTCACTGCTCTGAAACGGAACTTACGGTCCCTCAAAGACACCCCCCTGGACCTGCTTGGTAGAAACGTGTCCATAAGCAGTGTCTCTGTATCATGGCACTTCAGTTCCCTGTGTCCGAAAGCTTGTTCTAAAAGGTGAGGTTCATTTGTTGAAGTGTTTGAATTAAGTAGTACATGCTTTATGAACCAAGGACGTACAATGTACCTTATGTACAATAGGGTTTCTCCATATAGTACACTGTTTATAGATAAGGTAAGGTCATGCAAGATAAAACTCCTTATCTATATATGTTACTGATTATTTATTTTATGACTTAAGGGTTAAGGGACTAAGGAAGAATTTTTTGTTCAGGTCCTATTCACTTTGCTTCCAATAATCCAAGATGGGTTAGTCTTCACTATTTGTTAAGTTGGACAACCTTTAAGGCATACGTTACAGCCAAGCACAAGCATATGTGTACTACATGTATGGTTACAGCATCAGTATGTCGAAGATTAGCTGCAGATCTGTAGCGTTATGGTTTTATATTTGGTCTTTGACCATAACGCTACAGATCCCGTAATGCAAAAAAGGTGCAATTTACGGCACAATATTTTTTGCGCACTTTTGGGGAGAATTTCTCCACTTTGTAGCATTGATCAATCAACTACCTTTCACTCCCTAATTCTAGACACATTTTGTAGCCAATATATATATTTTATCCACCTCCCAACATTTATAGTTGTCTCAACAGGCAATTAACTCGCTTGAAGTGAATTTTCAGCAATCTTACAAATAACTTTTATCAAGCGAGTTTATCACTTATAGAGACGACTATAAAGGGTTGGGAAATGGATAAAATATACAGATTAGTTAAATAATATGCCTACAATTAGAGAGCGAAAGGTAGTTAATTGAAAGTGGAGAAATTTTCCCAAAAGTGCGCAAAAAATATTGCGCCGTAAATTGCACCTTTTTTGCATTACGGGATCTGTAGCATTATGGTCAAAGACCAATATATTTAAGGAATAACTGTCTTATTTTTCGAATTCATGAAGTGATCAATGGATTGGCTTGTGTAATAATTTGCATAAACGCCGAAGGCGTTTATGCATAAAATTATCACACAAGCCAATCCATTGATCATCTTCATGAATTGAAAAATCTGACAGTTATTCCTTATAACATGCTTTGATTCCGCCAATCCACGGGCTCCAAGCCTGCTTCTCTCTAGGTGTTGTGCCGCCCTGCACGTGGTTTTTTTTTTGGAACCGCGCCAAAACATTCATGAGGAAATAAATTACATTTACAATTGGTAATTTTATCTCGGACAAAGACATTGGAAATGTAAATATTAAACCATAACGCTACAGATCTGCAGCTAGTCGAAGATGTGTTAAAAAGCCCATTACATAATCACAGGAAGTTCAACATTTGCCCAGCATTCTACAATTAGTTTATGTATGGTTCTGTACAATATGTCCCTGAAAAATTACTGATTATACAAATTGACGATGTATTGTAACATGTGTAAAGTTTAACATAACCTGTTTAAAAAATGATGGCACAAAGAAAAAAAAATATATATATATATAGGAATACACTAACTTAAAAAATCCATCTTGTCTGACTTCTAATGCTAAAAAAAAAAATTTTTTTTGTAAACTCAAAAACTGAACACTGTCATTGCATTCCTATCGATGGGATTATAAACACAGTAATATAAGGGGGAGGGATTTTGTTGAATAAAATGACTTGATTATTGAGCTTCCTTTCTGGAATTCTAAGATTACTTGAAAAATGTTCTCAATAAAACACCCTGTTAAACATAAGTATTAAAGGTTTCTTGCAGTAAATGATTATCTATGAAGATTCAACACAAAATTGCACATTATTATCATTATATATATGTACAAATTGTCTTGCAATTGATGTATAACTCTGATAAAAAATGAACTCAAAAAATATGATAATGAAATGGATATATCTACATGCTGGGAGGCGGAACCTCAGAAGTTCAGGGTGAGCCCTAGGGGTAGAAGGTAGTTCCTCTTGAGGTCCTCTGTGGGGAGTTTGTTGTAACACACATTGTCTTTCTGATTGGTGTGAAAATGAGACTTATGGAAATGAGCGGTCGTCGTGAGCACTTCGGCTTCATCGTCTTTATACGCAGCAATAAAGTTCGTAGAAAAGTTCTCGTGATGAACTCTCAAGTTTTCCAGAGCCCACTGCATTTTAACGTCCGACACTAAGCGTTTCTGTGCACGAGGGGTGCGGGTTTTCTTCATCATGCGTGAGGTGGTTTCCAGAGTCTTTTTGAATTTTTCCCCTCCAGGGCCTTTCTCTGGAATGACTAGTGTGGCACCAAAAGCTGTACCTTTATTTCTAATCATCAGGAGAAAGATCTGAAACAGGCGCTCCTCATCGATACGCGGGGTAACTATGTAGACGACAGCACCACAGCCGAACCAATCATCAATAAGACTCTTCCACAGCTTCATGATGAAATCATGCTGCATGATTCCACCTCCCTCTGGGATCATGTCCAGTAGGTCCTGAACCTGTAAAATAATTCAAATAAATATTATTGATCAACAACCATGGACATTTAATTTTACTTTCAAATTAATTATGGCTAAAAAAAAAATGAAAGTGACTATAAATATCTCATGTGTTTTTTATATGGTTGAAAAATGGTAAAAAAATATTTTGTAAAACAACAAAATGAACTTGATGAAGAGAACTATTTCACCAATTAACATATACCATATTTCTACTGGACTAGCTGATATATCATTATCATTTATTTACCGAGTCATCAATATTTAGTGATGATCAATTAATGGGGCTATAAACTAGCTTGATATTTATGCATGCGTGGGTTAAGCGTCCAGGTATTGAGACAGATTTATTAATGATTACCTGTAGAAAAAGATCTGATGGGGACATTTTTTAATGTGACCTTGTGCTCATGCTTTTAGACCTGAACAATTTTTGGCTCATGCTAAATATTTCAAGTGTGAATAGCTAGTGTAATGTTTGCTGTATAATAAATAACTAGAGTGTTGATAAGATTTAACTTATATTCAATTAATTAAATATTTGGTAGATACATAATTTGAGGAAAAATGACTATTTTATCCTGTGATTTTATACATGTCTTATAAGATAGAAGCAATCAATTAAATTTAGCCTTGCAGTAACATCTGTACCCACACTGCACCTAGTAAACAATGTTCTCACAAGAATAACAACCAAGGTCCAACAAAAAAATAAATTCTACATAATTTAATAGATAGAAGTATTTTGCATATAAGTTGTAAATAAAATGTTTGTTTTTTCTTTAAAGCCAACACTGTTCAAATATTTCTAAACTTTTAGTTTTATAGTTATTTATTTTTTATGATAAAATCAATATTGATTCAATCTTTTTTCCAAATAAAAATTTGTATTTTGAATAATGTTACTACTGCTTTGATTCTTTCAATAAAGATTTGTAACTCATTACAAATTTGCTGAATGTGCAGACACTCCCCTTCTCCTATATAGCTTTATCAAGCTATATACCTTTATCAGGGTACCCAAGTGGTTTCGACCTACTTATAATTATATACATACAGGTAAACTCTATTCAATTAAATAATTTGTGGTATACACATGGTTACACGGTAGCTGTATGGAAAATGTCAATTTTTTGTCAACATTGAAGTCAATATATTTAATGTTTTTAGGACAAGGATGCAATTAATTTCGATCATTTGAAATATATAATTTTTATTTGAACATTTTTCCTTAAAAACTAATCAGCCCTTTGTGGGATAATATACATTTATGGTCTATACATGTTTTTGTTTAAATAAACATAATTATTTAGCAATATTTTTAATAATTCACGAGCGGTTAAAAAAATTGAATATTTTGAATAGACCCCAAAAAATGTTTTTAAACTATCGAAATTGTTATAATTAATTTCAATAAATTTGTCAAAACCATTACAAGGAAAATTTTGCTGAGTGTGCAAATTGACACCCGCATTCCTTCTCCTTAGAAACCAAGAAGTTGAATCGTTATCATTGACAAAAGTTGACGACGCAGTAAGTTGCGTAGTGACTTGATAAAAGTAAGCATTCTTCATTCATCAGTTTGATTTTATAAAAAAAAAAATCATTCTGTTCTTGCTTTAATTTACAAATTTGATCAAAGCTCACAACACGTGATCTCGCATGTTAATCGCCACCAAGGTCGATTGTCCTTACCTTTTCTCTCCTGTATGCATATTATCGGTGAGTTCTGCCTCCAAAATTGATTGAACACATTTTTAAAATCATTTCTTGGTAATTTAGTGGGTTATTACAAGAGAATTAACCGAAACATGCCCAATCGGCAATCCTCGGCTGACTCCGCTTCGCTCCATTCAAACCTCGGATGTGATAGGTGGAGGAATACGCATCAGATCGCTACATTTCTCCGCCGGAAACTGCCTTGTCACTCATTTCATATTTCGCTCTGCCTAATGTTCTTAGAAAAGGTTTCTTGATTTGTGCAATTCCTCGTACTAAATACAACCAAATGTAAGTATTCTTTGAAAGCAAGAACACAGTGTTGGGCGTGCATCAAAGTAACTCGGATTTCAAAAGTATAATATTTGAATGAAATTCAAATAAGATCACATGACTGAATCAGCAAGATGGAAGATCACCTCTCACGTCCGAGGTTATGTGCGAGGTAAACATTGAAACATGCCTCGTCATGATTTTTCTTGTCACCTTGAGTTTGACGTCATGAATTTTAAGTATTCCAAACCCGCATCTAATTCCGATCCCGACTTTTAAAAATAAATGTCTAATAACAGCAGTGACCTAAATAATTTGTATGTTCCTGATACCAACTGTCTTTAAAAATAAAATAATAAATTTTATAAACAACATCCCTAGATAATACAATCTGAACACAAGAAAAACAACTTTAAAACATTACAAAGAAATTGCTGCCAGGGAGATGGAAATAGCAGGCATGTATTGAGAATGTAACTTTACTTAAATAGGATTTTAAAGTAATCAGTTTATATCCATGTACATAAAAGCTGAGCATTGAGCTTGGCACCCAATTTACCATTTTATGAACAATAAAGTGTGACCTACTTTGGTGGTGGGATTATTGGTACATGCATGATTGATTTGATAATATCCCATACAATTCTCTGTAACCCTACCATTTCATCATTCTTATCCAGCTGTAGATATCTGGTGACCGAGTTGTCGGAGATCACGGACATCCCGTCCTCTAACTCCTGGCTCTCGTTATTAGCCGTCTCCAGTACCTCCGTGAAATTGTCCACCATCCACTGCCAGTGGTTCTTCCCACTGATCTTCATCAGCCCCGTCTTACGCGACAGTTTGATGGTCACTGCTGGAGCCGGTTTTATTTTGACCATCTCGTTCTTCTCCCGGTATGTTTGTTCGGGGTATAACGCGGTGAAGATATCCAGCCACCACCCCACCACATTGTCCTTTTTGGCGGTGGTGACGACAATCTCATCTCCTTTGTCAAAAAAATCTATGTCAAAAGGAGTGGGTGTGGCCCAGATATCTGCTAACACTCGCAATCTGTCCTTCTTTGATGGCATTGTTTATAATTATAGCGTCTTGAGGTCTATCAGCTCTGTGATCAATATTCACATGACTGTACAGGTAAACCACACTTAGTCTAATGACTATAAGTATAATCTCAAGGTCCAAATTCACATTTTAAAAACAAAATAAATTTGTCTTTGCACTTATTAATCCATTGAATGATAATTGAAAAAATTATTTCTGTCCTGGGTTTTCAAATTATGGTCACATAAGATTCACAAATACTTCCTGAGTTCCTGGCTGTGAATGACACACCTGAGTATTTTTACCTGTCCTGTTTTACTACAGTCAATTTCATTGGATGGTTAAGTTGTGTTCAGCCAATCAGAAAGTTGTTATCTAAAAAGTTAAATAAACATGTTGTAATATGGGGAATGACTCTGTGCTATATTTAGCTTTGGGCTGCCTGACACCTTTAATGTACCTGAGACACATAATTTAATTATCTATCTATGTAAAACATGACCCGTCACTAGGAGGACAAGTGTCAGTGTTCTATATAATAATGTGTTTGAAAGCTTGTCAAATAACAAAGAAAAAGATCATATTTATATGCATTTCTTAAAATTCCTACAGCTATATTAAGTATATACATGTATTAGAAAATTAATATTTAAATCAAACTTTGATCATATTAATTAAAAGTGAAATAATTTGAAGCACCGCATATTTAAATGCAGAAATTATATTATTAATAAGTTTAGTAATGATATTTAATTTAAAATCAAGACGGTAGAAAGGTTAATTATTAATTATTAATTTTACCCTTTTTTTTATATTAATAAAGATATTGTTCAGTTTTATATAATATGGGGGATATCATTCAAATTTCACAAAGCTACACAAAACATAACAGTCTGAACAAACAAATTTATGAACATATGATGAAGGTCATCTGGAATAAATCAGAATAAATAATATCATTGAATTATTAAAATTAAATGCATTAATGTTAACTAAATATTATCCTATTACAAAGTCTACATATTTAGTGGTATAAATTTTCTTTTTTGTTGCAGCAATAGCTTTTCAGAATGCAAAGAAAGCATGGGTTGTATTTGGGATCAAAAGTATCAAGAATGTACCACAACACCTGTATTACCTGAAAGGTGAGAGAAAATGGCTAAAATAGGTTCTTCTTTGTCAGACAGACTGAAATATCGGAAGTACATGTCATGTACATAATTTATTGAATTTGTAGGGTTTTAGGAATTTATATTTATTAACCCACATAGCCCAGTGGGTCTTTATTGTTTGATTCCCACGTACTATATACTGTACACAGGGTTATTTTTGCCCCGTTTGGCCGCCCATTTGGAGTTTTGTTTAAGAAATTATACTGTATTTTTTTTAATTCGCCCCGTTTTAAATTCGCCCAAAGGAGGATAGGGGGAAAATAAAATTGGGGCGAAAATTTCCCTGTATATGTAGCCATATTTATTAGATTTTGTCTTTTCTTGACATAAACTTCTTTAAGAGTAACTCAGTATTTCATGGAAAAAGTGCAGAGTGTTTTATAATAGATCAAAAATATCATATGTACTAACAGTTACTGTATAAAATACAATCATTATTGATATCAGTACAATGTTCCTTTATTACATGTATTTCATAATTTGTGGTGTGTAAACTGTGATTTCCTTAAGATGAAGCAGTTGTACTGATGTACTGTATTCTACACAGGGTCCAGGCCAGTATTTACCTCCCCTGTTTGGGCCTGTATCAGCCTCTTGACAGTGGAGAAGAACAGCAGGTCATAAGTGACCTAGAGGGCGCTATCAGAAACAGGACAAGATTGTCTCACAAGTCACTGCATTCATTTGAATTAAAAAAGGTGAAAAGGGCTGACAAAACAAGATCTGTTTTTAGTTTAAAAATGGTTAGATAAAGGGGTAGGTTCACTAACTCCATATAATGGCCCTGTCAATATACCAATTAAAAAAATTTCCTCTGAGAGTCCAAGTTTGGAAACTCAGGCATTGTGAAACTGCAATGTTCTTGATTTTTGAAGAAAATGGGTGAAATATACTGAAATTGAGTATCTTCAACTTTTGGGAAACATATGAGCCCACCCCACGATCCAAAAAATTTTTTCATGAATTATAATCTTCTGAAACAGTTCTTTCATAACATAATAAAACATTTTAGATCAGACATTGGGGGCTTAATGCAAAATATTAAAAAACAGTTTAATTTTTTGGTCATTTTTGAGAAGTCATAATACATGGACAAGAGAAAAAAATTACGTCATTTTTATTGAGTTGGCTCGCGTAGCGAGCTACTCCCTGTCGACATAGCCGTTTCAGAGCTGTAAAATTTATCACGCATTCATCAAGGTGATCCATACGCCAAATATTATAGTTCTAGCAAAAAATGCTTTGATTTGAGTGATTGTATAAACTTGTATAAAATAATAAAATTTATAAAAGGTAAAAACTGTATACAATTTCCTACTGTAACATTATTTATGCCTTCATGCTTTTAAAGAAATTTTTGATTAAATATCTGTATGATGTACAATTACTGCGTATGAATATATGTTCAAGCATGTTAGGCAGATCTAATCTTTCCATCTGAAGTTTATTTATAATTGACCTAGAATACTCCCTAACACAAACACCTGCTGCTCTCATTAGCTTCAGCTAGTTGTTGAAAATCTATTTTTAGAATCCAGATTTGCTGTGGGAATCTTTAACCCAATTATTCCATAACACTGACCACTTCAGCTAATGTGCAGTCAAAATAATACGGAAGCCCATTAGTGCCAACCTGTATATATAAAGGAAAAGCAATATACACTTTATTTATGAACCTAACACACATGGATCAGACATATAATATTCAATCTCTTAAGATGCAAAATAAACTGAATATATTAAGGTATGGTGCCAAGATGTGAAAAAGCTCAATTGACTCGAGCGAGTCAACTCGCAGGCCCTTCAGGCCTTTGATTTGATATAAAGTCACCAATGGTCCAAGTGAAATTTAAGATATTTTCAACTAAAACTGAGTAGTTCTGATTTTTTTTAGAGATTCAAGGGCCAAAATTGGACCAATGTGAACTTTTTTCTTTGATATATAGATATAAAAATAATAACCAGGATAGTACTAAAATTTCAACAGGTTGAGGTATTGGTCACTTCAATTTTTTAGCTCACCTGAGTCAACATATGTCTCTCTGTACTATGTCTGAAAACATTCATCAATCTGTATCAACTTTTTAGCTCACCTGAACTGGAGGCACAAGTGAGCTTTTCTGATCACATTTTGTGCGTCATCTGTCCGTCTGTCTGTCTAGCTGTCCATCTGTACACTTTTCACATTTTCGACTTCTTCTCAAGAACCACTGGGCCAATTTTAACCAATCTTAGCACAAAGTATCCTTGGGTAAAGGGGAATTTAGGTTCTTAAAATTAAGGGCCAGGTCCTCTCACAAGGGGAGATAATCAAGAAAAGACAAAAATAGGGTGGGGTCATTAAAAAATCTTCTCAAGACCCACTGGGCCAGAAAAGCTGAAACTTGTGTGGAAGCATCCTGGGGTAGTGAAAATTCTAAATTTTTCAAGTCATGACCCCCGGGGGTTGGGCAGGGCCACAATAAGGAATCAAAGTTTTACACAAAAATGTATAGGGGAAAAAACTTTAAAAATCTTCTCAAGAACTTCTTGGTCAAAAAAGCTGAAAGTCATGGGGATGCATCCTGAGGTAGTGTAGATTCTGAATTGTTCAAATCATGACTCCAGAGGATTGGGCGGGGCCACAATAGGGAATCAAATTTTTACATAGAAATATATAGGGTAAAAACTTTAAAAATCTTCTTCTCAAGAACTACTTGGCCAGAAAAACTGAACGTTATGTGGAAGCATCCTGGGGTAGTGTAAATTTTAAATTGTCCAAATTATGACCCATGGCGTACGATTGGGTCACAATAAGTATTACAAGGGAGGAATCTGGTTAAGAATAGCATGGTCAAAACTTCTCAGTTGAGTGATGTGGCCCAGTTGAGCCTCTTGTTTTATTATGATAAGCACATTCCATCAAATTTTGTTGTTCCAATCCAAAATGCATCTCAACTGCAAAGGTAACCATATGTTATATTTCTTCTATGAGAGGAACTGGAGAGAAATTCTATTTATTTCTTGCAGAGTAACACATTACTAGGCCGAGTGATGAACTTCACCATACAAGGAATCTTAAACCAAAACCGTGTTAGTGCAATCTGGTGGGACCTAAAGAATCAACTAGAAAAGGGGCATACCTTAGTCCTAACAATTGGAAATCACACATACCACAGCAGTACTCAACCTACAACTTATGAAGACATAACTAAGTATTAGATTCTTTTATCCATAAAAACAGAGTTTCTTTTGTTTTATTGAAAAACATCAAGTTTGGGGATATATAGATAAAGAGAGAAGAGAGGACTGATGCCAAATGATCCTGTTTCTCTAGACTCGTTTTGAGTTTCCAATTTTTTTTATTTTCAACCATTCCTTTATACAAAATTTTATTATACTCAGGTGACCATTTAGGCTTCTTATATTAATTCTTAATTTGTATCCTTATTCATTGATCCTGCACTAAAAGGAGCTTACGGTAACAAAGTTAAAAAAATGGTCAGAAAAACAGTAAAAGCATATTAGTATAAATTGTCCTCTGGTTTGCATAAAGGAGATATACTTAAGTTGATTTTAATTTTTTCAGCATGGAAATAAATGTGGAATTTGTCTCACTAGAAACTGATGATCTTCTCCAAAGCCACCCTTTAACTGCCAGGAAAACTATAAACCGGGAAGTTGTGAGAATTGCCAAGGAGACAGTGGCCCCATTGGTTACCAAGACAATATCCAATATTCAATTTCACAAGGTTTGTTAAACAGCTTGAGCTCAATTTAATTTATTTGGTACAAATTCATCAGGAATTTTAAAGGGAAAAAGCTGTAAATTTGGTTTTATTGATGGTTGAGTCAGACGTATTATGTTTAAAGTTCTTTTATAGTAGAATTTAAGAGACAGATTATTTTCTTTTCACATCTGTATGAGTCATAAAAAATCTTAAAAAAAAAAAAAAAATATAGGGTGAACTACTGGAAAATTTGATTAGCTTGTTATTTTGTAATATTTTTTACCTGATACAAGGGAAAAAAATCAATTTTAAATTTTCATAATGTGCTCATGCACTAGTTTTCAGTTTTTTTCCACACCATTGCAGTTATGAAACTAAGTCTTTCAAAAATACATTATATTTCAATGCCTATAAGTAATAGATGTTGCAATATGACATGATCCTGCAGCTTTTAAATTCATCTTATGAATTATATGTAGAAATAAACATTTTAAAAATATTCATATTTTTTAGGTCACCTGAGTAAACTCAGGTGACCTATTGCTATCTCTTTTCGTCCGTCGTCGTCCGTCGTCGTCAGTCGTACGTCGGTTGTAAACTTTTGAACATTTTTAGCTTCTTCTCAGGAACCACTGAACCAATTTCAACCAAATTTGGTATAAAGCAAAAAAAAAGGGAAACAAAAATTATGAATTTCATGGTCCCTGTCCCCCTGGGGCCTGAGGGGTGGGGCCAAAACCACTAAAATTAATGCAATCTTTAAAAATCTTCTTCTTTACTCCTGGACATCAAGCAGTCAAATTGTTTGCATGATTGTAATCAGCACTGAGCCCTCTTCCAAAATTGTGAAATTCATGGCCCTGGGATCAGGGGTTCTAGTGCTAGGGCGGGGCTAAATAAGTAGGTAGTGAAAATGCATTATTTCTTTGAAAATCTTCTTCTTTGCTCCTAGGTATTAAATAAACTAACTAAGTACATAGTTATGATGAGCAAGAGTGCCTCTACAGAAATTGTGAATTTTTTGGCCCCAGGGTCAGGGGTTCTGGTGTTAGGGTGGGACTCTATTGATTATATAGTGAAAATACATGAATTCTTTGAAAATCTTCTTCTCTGCTCCTGGGTATTTAATAAACAAACCGAATATATAGTTATGTTGAATAAAGCTGCCTCTTCCAAAATTGTGAATTTCATGGCCCCTGGGTAGGGGGTTCTGGTGTTAGGGTGGGGCTCTATTGATCATATAGTAAAAATACATTGATTCTTTAAACATCTTCTTCTCTGCTCCCGAGTTTTAAATAAAAAAACAAGTACATTTAGTTATGTTGAATAAGGCTGCCTCTTCCAAAATTGTGAATTTCATGGCCTCTGGGTCAGGGGCTCTAATGTTAGGGTGGGGCTCTATTTATCATAAAGTGAAAATGCATTAATTCTTTAAAAATCTTCTCTGCTCCTGAGTATAAACCAATGAACTATGTACATAGTTATGATGAGGAAGGATGCCTCTTCTAAATTCATGAATTTCAGGGTCCCAGGGTCAGGAGTTTTGGTGTCAGGGCAGGGTTCTAATGATTAAACAGTGAAAATTCATCAATACTTTGAAAACCTTTTCCTTTGCTCTTGGGTATTATGCCAATTTGAATGTTCTAAGTACATATTAATGATGATGAAAGGTGCCTCTTCTAAAATGGTTAATTGCAGGGCCCCTGGGTCAGAGGTACTTGAGGTGGGGGTTACATAGTCTGAAAATAAATTAATGCTTTGATATCTGCTTTTTCGTATTATTAACCATTTATGATGATATAAAATTAATGATAAAATTTCCAGAATTTTGAAATATGTGCCCCCAGGGTCTGTGGTTCCTGTGGGGTGGGGTGCTTAACTGGTTATAAGGTGGAAATGCATTTTCTCTTTGTTACTCTTATTCCAATTTCCAGTATTAAGTAACCAAAGTAAGCAAACTAAGTGTATACATGTAGTTATGATAAGCAATAGTGCCTCTTTCAAAATTTTGAATTTCATGGCCTTTGATTTTAAACATGAACCAATTCAATTGTTGGAAAGTTGTTACATGATACTCAGGTGACCTATAAGGCCCGTGGGCCACTTGTTTCCCTAGAATTCAGTCAAATTCATGGTGTCCAAGAAACCAGGTGACCCCAGGGATTTACGGAAAGAATATTCACAGCTAAGAGCTATAATTCACCAGGGACTGTTGAATATCCGCCTGTTCAGTGTGCAGTATACTGCTAATTATACCTTCTTTGTTGGAAGCTTTGGAGAGTTGTGTCCAAGGCAGTGTTGGGAAGGGTTAGCACAATGATTTTCTTTATTCATTTATTAAAAAGATTTCAAAAAGAATAGAGCAGAGAGTATTCTTTTGATTCATAGGGGATGTTAAAAGTGTGAAGGAATTTAATAGGAATTGTTGCTTGTGATGATAGCTTCGTTTAAGAACAAAAAAGGTCATGAGTAAGTGGAATATAAGATCTCAAAATCAGGTGGGTGTCATATACATGTAATAAAAAGATACATTATGTATTTGAGAACTGGATGAAGAAGAATTTTCTATGCTCAATAATATTTTAATATTTTTTAAACAAATAATTGTCATCAGTTAATTTTTTTCGCTTCTTTAAAATTGCATTAGTTTTTAGGCTTTATTATCATAGAATAGAATGAATTCTACATGTGCAGTAATAAAGATTTTCATTAACATTTCTTCAATACTGATTAAAGGTCATGTTCTTTATTTTGATCAGTATTTTGCATTTTCTATAATACAATGCTAACAGATATCAATGTTTACCTCAGACATGATGAGACAGCATGTTCCACCCTATCGGGATGTTACTGGTCTGATTCCACTCAGCAGTGCTCTGACGATATGGTTCTACCAGAAATGTTAGTATCAATGTAATATTATATAGTCATATACATATCAATAATCCAGGAATTACATTTAGTCATGGATATTAATAATCTAGGAAGTTATTCAGAGACCTCCAAATGATATTTCCTTATCATATGTTTGATATAATTTTGCACCGTCATTGATTTTGTTAAGAATAAAAATTAAATATGTATGAATTGCTATACATATAAAACAAAATAGTGAAATTAAAGATATCTTCAAGATAAATAGAAATAAAAGCTTTCTCTGAAATATCAAGCTTTGAAGAGATCTGAAGAAATCTACAAGTACATGTAGTATGGCATTTGTCTACATCAACTGAAAAAAAAGCAATGTTTATCAAAGTGCATTATTAATACTAGTTTTCAATTGATAGTTCTTGAGTGTGATGTACTGTGTTGTAGGAAAAAAGTAACAGTTGTATTTCCTTGTGCCAAGTTTGAAGAACTGACCATAGATGAGAGAAATAAAAGTCTGGATACCATTAAAAATGAAGTGGATAAATTTATTCAAGGTCTTCCTCCAGGAGCTAAGGCTCAGGCTTTTACCCTTGGGGATGTAAGTCTTAACGGAATAAGTTTACCTACTTTATACAGGGTTATTTTCGCCCCGTGTTATTTTCGCCCTTTTGCATGGGCGAACTATTTTGCCCCATTTTAAATTGGCCCAGTCATAGTTTGGTTTAAGAAATTATGCTGTTTGATTTGAATTCGCACCGTTTTAAATTCGCCCAATGAGGAAGAGGGCGAAAATAAAACGGGGGCGAAAATTTCCCTTTATACAGTATATCTGTGAACCTTTATCTATAAGCTACTCTAGCCAATGTGTTCAGAAGAGTGATAAGGCCCATGGGCTTCTTATTTTCTCAGACCTGTCTTACTAAAACTACCACAAGAATAGAAAATGTTCATAATTGAATCAGTTTTGGAGGTGAAACTCAAATTATTATCATACATTAGAAAAAAATTAGAAAATATCAGATTTTTTTTTTCAAATTTAGCAACATATATGTAAGAGTTCTGAAAAATGTTGAATGGGTGCTTGTAAGAAGGATGGGGTTAAGAATGGCAAAAGTTATGAGTGAAAATTTGAATAAAAGTATTCCTTAAGTTCTGATGAACTTTCTCCAAGAAATCAATGATACCTTTATATATCTTCAGGATTTCAGAGATAGTTTTACATTCTTGGTCCAAGGAACTGCAAGAAGAGCCCCATTGTTAGACGTTCTTACCAACATCTCAAAATGGATAAGTGAAGGCCAGCTACAACTTGTAGTCAATAACACATACATCAGGGGGCAGGATGTAGAAGATTTTAACAGGTCAGAGGCAATACTCTGTCACTTTTACAATGCCTGCTGGAAATGTTTGTTAAGTTTGGCTGTTTTGCACCTCTCTAGCAACAATAGACTTCTACAAAAATGTGATAACAACAGAAAAGCCTATTTTAGTTTCGAACATGTTTGTTCTTTCCAAATATGTATATCTTTGATCAAGTGTGTTCCTTGTAATCAAACAGAGACATTCATGTATCTTTAGTAATGTTATGAGCATTTAATGTCATTTCAGTATTGAGATAGCCATGCTCTTCCCAAACCTGGAGTTTTTCAAGTTAGACTTGCCACAGAGAAGGAAGCTTAAAGTGGACCTGTTCCATCATCTACAGAGCCTGCTGTCCTCCGACTTCTCCATCAGGGACATTCAGCATGTCTGGTTTGATCAGGTACAGGGAAACCTGACTAATCCGACAAACCTGTCCAATCCAACAAACCTGTCTAATCCGACAAAGCTGTCTAATTCAACAAACCTGTCTAATCCGACAAACCTGTCTAATCCAACATACCTGTCTAATCCAACAAACCTGTCTAATTTGACAAACCTGTCTAATCCAACAAACCTGTCTAATCCGACAAACCTGTCTAATCCGAACAAACCTTTCTAATCCAACAAACCTGTCTAATCCAACAAACCTGTCTAATCCGACAAAGCTGTCTAATTCAACAAACCAGTCTAGTTCAACAAACCTGTCTAATTCAACAAACCTGTCTAATCCAACAAACCTGTCTAATTCAACAAACCTGTCTAATTCAACAAAACCTGTCTAATCCAACAAACCTGTCTAATCCAACAAATCTGTCTAATCCAACAAACCTTTCTAATCCGACAAACCTGTCTAATCCGACAAACCTGTCTAATCCGACAAACCTTTCTAATCCAACAAACTGTCTAATCCAACAAACCTTTCTAATCCGACAAAGCTATCTAATTCAATAAACCTGTCTAATCCGACAAACCTGTCTAATCCAACAAACCTGTCTAATCCAACAAACCTGTCTAATCCGACAAACCTTTCTAATCCGACAAACCTGTCTAATCCAACAAACCTGTCTAATGCGACAAAGCTGTCTAATTCAACAAACTTGTCTAATCTGACAAACCTGTCTAGTTCAACAAACGTGTCTAATTCAACAAACCTGTCTAATTCAACATGCATGGGGAGACAAATTTTATATTGGAACAGACTAGTCAGATTGTACAGTGTTAAAAAAACATGGAAAAAATTTCAATTGAAAGAAATTTAACGTTGGAATTCACAAAGTGATGAATTGCACAGGTGTCAGATTGAATAGATTTTTCTGTAATATTAAAATTATAGATAAATACTTTGTTAATAGAGTGGACATAGGAGATTGTCATTTAGTAAAGCATTTATTAAACTTTCATATGCTGACCTTTGCTACAGGAAGGCCTTTTCTTAAATTATCAGAAATATTTTGAAATTCCCATTTTGTCATAAACTTAATTATTTTTTGGCTGATTCACTGGACAAACAATTAATTATGTAAGAAATTATTCATTGAACAAATGTGCATTGAATGGTTGGATGGATCCTATCCTCATTTTCAAGGACATTCCTTGAATTAGGAAGTGAAAGTCACTCATTATAAGAATTTTTATGTAAGCCCTTAGTTTCCTTCATAATAAAGTGTGTGCAGTAACTGCCACTCTCCTCCACAGAACCAGGAAGTTGGGGGAATTCTTTCAAAATTTCACATACATGTACATCTAATTAGAAATGAATTTTTATACAGTAAAATTTGTCTAATTACTAGGATCGTCACCATTGGTACCAAAGAAATTGTCAGGATTAATCTAAGAATCTAAATTTGACATCTAGAATCAAATGAAGCAGTTAGGCCATTCCAAGTTTTTTCTATGTTTAGCGTCCACCCATCTTTCAAAAACCTACCTACCTATTCGCAAAAAACACACAGACCAAAAAAGAAAACACAGACTTTATAGTCATAAAAGTAACGTCTCTCAAAGGGTTTGATTTCAAAAAAATATTTTTTCTCCTTTCTAGATCTACACTTTAGCAAAATCCATGTACTAAATGCTCAAAATATACCAAATATGAAAAATTGTAGACAGATTTTAACAGGACATGATAGAATTCAAAGATTTTGACCAGAATAATCAATATCGGGTTTTCTGATTTTGTTTGTTTTTTCTGATATTGGGTGTCAAAAACCAAGGCGCACGCGGACGCTAAACATAGAAAAAACTTGGAATGGCCTTATTAATATTTCTTTTTAATTACATTTTATTAAAAAGGAATGAAAAAACTTTTCATTTCGGTAAGGGTTCAAAAGGTCATATTATAATAATTTTGAAAATATCATAAATAATGTAAGCTTAGTTGCCTGATGTAGGATGCAGTGGTAAAAGTGTCTGCTCTAGATTAGCGAAGTAAGGAGTTGATCTTACGTCTCGGGTTTGAATCCCACTGTGGGACGTGGAAACCGGTCCTCTGGATGAGACTGTATAAACCGAGATCCTGTGTCGCCGTAGGTGTTGACACAAAAAAATTTCTCACTGCCCAATGGCCATAAGTGCTTAGCATAGGTCAAAATTTGCAGCTTTAGACTGCCAAGTGGTGGCATGTCCATTAGTGAAAAATTCTTGAGAGGAACCTTAAACTTAGATCTTGATCTCTGGACGTTAAAGATTTACAAAGCAGTAAAAAAAAAAGGGGGAGAGGGTAGAGGTATATATACAGAAGGCTGAAAAACTTGCAATATAACACAAAAATGATAATTAAGGTGACTTTTAGGGTTGTTATTTTACTTGTAGAAGTACATCATATTTAAAGTTCAAAGAGACAATTTAAATTCCTCAGTAAATAAAGAGATTGAGAGATGGAAGCAGATGTTAAAACTCCAGGCTTTCTCCATATCACTGGGACATAGGAGAATTCATCCCACTAAACTGGTATATCAGAAAAGCCTGGGTGGAAACTGTCCTATTTCTTGTTTTAATAGGTAAGTGGAAAAAAAATTACACATTTATGGTATGAATCTTTTCTGAAAAAGAAAAGGAGGTGTTTTTGTAAGGAATTACAAATATTTGTTTGATATATGCAATATGAAACATAAAAATGTGATGCATTATTACATACTGGTAGTTATTTTTTCACTTCCCAAAGAGGGTCATGACCCTTTATTTACAGTAACATGTTGGAGGTTCACACTGATGTTCAATAAGACTTGCTTATGAGGAAATTGTATGCAGGGAAATTTCGATTAAGAGAAAGTTTTCCCTTTTCTCCATCCCTCATATCGTCCCAATTTTATCTTTGGGCATAAAGAAACTGTATTATAAGGAAGTGAATTATCTCAAGGACTTCCTTAAAAGCAAGTTTTACTGTAATTGTTTAAGTGAACTCAAATTCAACAGTGAAAAGTGTTGGCCTTGTCTAAAGATAGTCCCTTGTTTATTTTCACTATATGAATTGATGAGGAAGTATATAAAAATTCCTTTTCACTTGATGACAAAAATGGTTAAAAATTGCATCAACAAGGGTCATTTCCTGTTCCAAAGGCTATTTTGAATTAATCTTGTGATCTCTGAAGTGCCTGGTTTGTATATGGTAATTCACTGTTCTAGTATACTTTAATTGCAAAAATGACACCCCCTTTCAAATACATGTATGCACATTTTAATTGCTACTAATTTGAAAATACTTTTGAAGAGGGAATTAATTTTTTTCATAATACACTGTTGAAATCATTGACAAGTAACTTTAAATATTGAGGTTTTTCTTGCTTCAAATTTACAAATAGATTATTAAGAGATGCTGCAAATCACCTCATATTCGCAAACATTTTACAGCAAAACTCGTTTAGTACGAACACGGATATAGCGAATTCACGGTTATAGCGAAGTTGTTTTGGATCCCCAGCTATATAAATTTAACATATTTCTTATATGGATATAATGAATTACGGATATAGCAAAGTAAATTCATAGGTCCCCGTGACTTTGTTATAACCGAGGTTTACTGTACAATTAAAAAAGCCATAACCAGATTTTATCTTGCTCATAAATACCATAAAAACCAAATAGAGAGTAGTTAGTTGTGTCTCAAAATTTTGATGATCTACAGAAATCTGAGATACCAACAAATGATGGAGTTTGTAATTATATGTATTTCAGGTCTACAGACTCACAGTGTAGAAAATCTCTGGGATGTTTTTACAATGGAACTTGGAATGTAGACCTTTGTCAGAAAAAGAAACTAATGGGAAGCAGGTAAAAATTATAACCTTTCTTGTTATCCGTAATCAACCAGGATATATTAATTGCATATAAATAGGTTCTGGGATCATGACGCAATTAAAGACTCAAGTCAGAATTTGTACACATCCTGAAAGTTTTATCATTACAAAAACAGATTACCTGTTTCTGGAGATTCCTGACATGAATAATTATTATAAATTATGATTTAAATGTACTTAACTTAATTATGAAATTCTCTATTGTAGTTATGTGTACCCCCTATTTGTGGCCTGTAATACTACTCAGACATTAAATGTCTCAGAGAAGACAGAAGCAGAACAGGATCTGAGAGAAAAACTGGAAACTTTGCTTGGGGAGGCAATAGAAGTCCTACAGGATGTAGTCATTACAGAGGTAGGACTGTATGTTAGGAGAAGTCCTACAGGATGTAATCATTACAGAGGTAGGACTGTATGTTAGGAGAAATCCTACAGGATGTAATCATAACAGAGGTAGGACTATATGTTAGGAGAAGTCCTACAGGATGTAATCATTACAGAGGTAGGACTGTATGTTCGGAGAAATCCCACAGGATGTAATCATTACAGAGGTAGGACTGTATGTTAGGAGAAGTCCTACAGGATGTAATCATTACAGAGGTAGGACTATATGTTTGGAGAAATCCTACAGGATGTAATCATTACAGAGGTAGGACTGTATGTTCAGAGAAGTCCTACAGGATGTAATCATTACAGAGGTAGGACTGTATGTTAGGAGAAGTCCTACAGGATGTAATCATTACAGAGGTAGGACTGTATGTTAGGAGAAGTCCTACAGGATGTAATCATTACAGAGGTAGGACTGTATGTTAGGAGAAGTCGTACAGGATGTAATCATAACAGAGGTAGGACTATATGTTAGGAGAAGTCAAATATAACTAATTTTGTGGGGAATCAGTGGTTTCCAGATTTAAAAAAGTTTAACTGTATAAATTTGCTAAAATCAATACAATAGTAGGGCAATATGCTAGGAGAGGGAGAAGAGGTCCTACACTTGAACTTGTATCAAAATGTTTTGTATCAGAGATAACATTACCAACACAAAATTATACAACATGTATCATGAAGAAGACATACAGTTCACCTTTAATCTATCCATTACAATTTGAAGGAAAATGTCAATGAACTTTCCAACAAAACTATTCAGAGGTATAATTTCCCAGTTTTCTCTGGCAGTCAAATCCCTCTTTAAATGAAACCCCACCAATTGCTTAATATAAACCTGTGTATATGTCTGTAGGATGGGGCAGATATTGTTCTCCATGCCACGACACTACACCCCCACCTGGAGCTGTATGTGGACACACTGAATACTGAAGTAGACTACACGAAGGGGTTCAGATTCGGTCCCTCTACAAAGACAAATAAGTTTGCACCCCGCAAGAAGAAGGATTCTACAAAGTAGGTACTGCTTTAATAGAAAAACAGGGTGATTATTAGAATGTGCATTTTGCAGAGTAATAGTAGTGTTCGAAATTTACAACACAGTGATGTTCCTGTTTTAAAAACAATACTGGGGATGTAACATATGCACTGTTTCAGTATAATTCAGCAAGATTCTCTGTATGATTAGCAAGCATACTACAGAATGTTTCATGATATTGCACAATACTGAAATTAGGTTCATTTTATGTAGCTATTGTTTTACAAGAAAAGGGAACTTCAAGGTTTCTCTTGCACTTTCAGTGTTAGGTGATTGACTTTGAATAATACAACTTGGACTATCCAGACAACATGCTTATATTAACTAGCTATGCATTTTGAATTTCAGTGTAGATGTGATCCTGAAATTTAGCAGTATCGACTTGGAAGCTTTACAGAACCTTCATCTGGCCACCAGAGAAGATATCTCCCAAGATCTACAGCAGCAGGTCAACACTCTCCTAGTGGGGGAAGTGGCCCAAACGTTTAATCTGTCCTGGATCAAACAGGTACTTGTTAACATTGTAGGGGAGATGGACTAGTCATTTAACCTCACCTGGATTAAACAGGTATTTGATCACTTAGTAGGGGAGGTGGTCCAGTCATTTAACCTCACATGGATCAAACAGGTACTTGTTCACATCACATAGTAGGAGTCATTCAGTCTCACCTGGGTAAATAGGTACTTGTTCATTTAGTAGGGGAGATGGCCCAGTCATTTAATGTCGCATAGATCAAATGGGTTTCATTAAAATAATCATTACCAGATATGGATCAGTAAATATTTTATTTTTTTCAAATTGTCAATTCAGTTCATTCATTTTCAGGATAAACTTTCATTCGAGCTGAAGAAATCACTACAGAGTAAAGTAAACATGGCAGAGGAAGTGGATAAAATCAGGGAGTCATTTCAACCTCACCTGGATTAAACAGCTATTTGATCACTTCAGACCTATAGTGGCCACAGAAGGGGCACAGTCATTTAACCTCACATGGATCAAACAGACTTGTTCACATCACAACCTTCTCTTAACTTCAGACCTATAGTGGCCACAGGGGCACACAGTCATTCAAAGAGTTAGTAACCTTCTCTTAACTTCAGACCTATAGTGGCCACAGAAGGGCACACAGTCAATACATTCAAAGAGGTAACCTTCTCTTAACTTCAGACCTATAGTGGCCACAGAAGTACACACAGTTACATTTAGTAACCTTCTCTTAACTTCAGGGGAGATGGCACACAGTCAATACATTCAAAGAGTTAGTAACCTTCTCTTAACTTCAGACCTATAGTGGCCACAGAAGGGCACACAGTCAATACATTCAAAGAGTTAAAATAATCAGACCTATAGTGGCCACAGAAGGGCACACAGTCAATACATCAAAGAGTTAGATGGCACACAGTCAATACATTCAAAGAGGCACACAAGGGCACACAGTCAATACATTCAAAGAGTTAGTAACCTTCTCTTAACTTCAGACCTATAGTGGCCACAGAAGGGCACACAGTCAATACATTCAAAGAGTTAGTAACCTTCTCTTAACTTCAGACCTATAGTGGCCACAGAAGGGCACACAGTCAATACATTCAAAGAGTTAGTAACCTTCTCTTAACTTCAGACCTATAGTGGCCACAGAAGGGCACACAGTCAATACATTCAAAGAGTTAGTAACCTTCTCTTAACTTCAGACCTATAGTGGCCACAGAAGGGCACACAGTCAATACATTCAAAGAGTTAGTAACCTTCTCTTAACTTCAGTCATTTACTTGCCTCTGTAGGGCTCTCAGTCAATACATTCAAAGAGTTAGTAACCTTCTCTTAACTTCAAACCTATAGTGGCCACAGAAGGGCACACAGTCAATACATTCAAAGAGTTAGTAACCTTCTCTTAACTTCAAACCTATAGTGGCCACAGAAGGGCACACAGTCAATACATTCAAAGAGTTAGTAACCTTCTCTTAACTTCAGACCTATAGTGGCCACAGAAGGGCACACAGTCAATACATTCAAAGAGTTAGTAACCTTCTCTTAACTTCAGACCTATAGTGGCCACAGAAGGGCACACAGTCAATACATTCAGTAACCTATAGTGGCCACAGAAGGGCACACAGTCAATACATTCAAAGAGTTAGTAACCTTCTCTTAACTTCAGACCTATAGTGGCCACAGAAGGGCACACAGTCAATACATTCAAAGAGTTAGTAACCTTCTCTTAACTTCAGACCTATAGTGGCCACAGAAGTACACACAGTCAATACATTCAAAGAGTTAGTAACCTTCTCTTAACTTCAGACCTATAGTGGCCACAGAAGGGCACACAGTCAATACATTCAAAGAGTTAGTAACCTTCTCTTAACTTCAGACCTATAGTGGCCACAGAAGGGCACACAGTCAATACATTCAAAGAGTTAGTAACCTTCTCTTAACTTCAGACCTATAGTGGCCACAGAAGGGCACACAGTCAATACATTCAAAGAGTTAGTAACCTTCTCTTAACTTCAGACCTATAGTGGCCACAGAAGTACACACAGTCAATACATTCAAAGAGGTAGTAACCTTCTCTTAACTTCAGACCTATAGTGGCCACAGAAGGGCACACAGTCAATACATTCAAAGAGTTAGTAACCTTCTCTTAACTTCAGACCTATAGTGGCCACAGAAGGGCACACAGTCAATACATTCAAAGAGTTAGTAACCTTCTCTTAACTTCAGACCTATAGTGGCCACAGAAGGGCACACAGTCAATACATTCAAAGAGTTAGTAACCTTCTCTTAACTTCAGACCTATAGTGGCCACAGAAGGGCACACAGTCAATACATTCAAAGAGTTAGTTCCCTTCTTTCAAGCTTTTAATTTACACTGTAAGGAATATAATTTACTGTCAAAGAGTGGGCCAGAAGGTTATTTGTCTTGAAATGAGGAAAATTGTTTGAAGACTGGAATTCCACACTATTCTCTTTTCAGTCTTTATTTTTGTGTGTTCATGAATTAACAAAATGTAGAACATTTTGGTGAAGAAAATCTGTGATTTTTATGAGCAATTTGAATTGGGCTATGCTTATTCTGTGTTAAACCAGAGAATATTTATGTAGCAATGAATATATCTATGGTGTAGACTGTACTGTTTAACTTATGCCTCTCTACTTCAGACTGTGTCCAGAGAAGTATCAAGATTCCTCCAAAGTTCCCCCTGTAATTACAACAGTGAACAGCATCAACACCTCCTTTGTATGTATTTAATATTTCTAATGTAATATTATAATCGTGGAAAAATTTATGATATTTGTTGTTTTCGCAGTCAAGTTCTTCATATAAATACTGTATGTAGTGTTTATAATATCATTTACTGCTTAGATTCTCCTTTCAGAGAAAAAGTCTATAACCTTGATTTAATGTTTATTTAATTTCCATTCTTGATATCACTATAAGGAATTTAAATCTGGACAGATATAGTTTACATGCAAAATTTCTTCAATAGTTTAGAACTCATAAACTCAAATTAGTTTTTTAAACACCCCACATACATTTTCAGACAACAATTACAGTACCTGCAGTCATTAGACCAGAACTACTTGTGATCTACAACGCCTCACAGATTTCACGTTCAGAAGCCGATGCTCTGGTCCTAGACACAGTTAGAACCTGTTTTGTGGAGATCCATGACTGTCAATATTGTTCTAGTCAATTCTCCAAGGATTCCTGCTCCTTTCAACCAATCACCACTGAGAGTCCTATCTCATCTACCAATCAGGTAAAACATACTGAACCAATCACCACTGAGAGTCTTATCTCAACTACCAATCAGGTAAAAGTACTGAACCAATCACCACTGAGAGTCCTATCTCATCTACCAATCAGGTAAAATATACTGAACCAATCACCACTGAGAGTCCTATCTCATCATCCAATCAGGTAAAACATACTGAACCAATCACCACTGAGAGTCCTATCTCATCATCCAATCAGGTGAAACATACTGAACCAATCACCACTGAGAGTCCTATCTCATCTTCCAATCAGGTAAAACATACTGAACCAATCACCACTGAGAGTCCTATCTCATCTTCCAATCAGGTAAAACATACTGAACCAATCACCACAGAGAGTCCTATCTCATCTTCCAATCAGGTAAAACATACTGAACCAATCACCACTGAGAGTCCTATCTCATCTTCCAATCAGGTGAAACATACTGAACCAATCACCACTGAAAGTCCTATCTCATCTACCAATCAGGTAAAACATACTGAACCAATCACCACAGAGAGTCCTATCTCATCATCCAATCAGGTGAAACATACTGAACCAATCACCACTGAGAGTCCTATCTCATCTTCCAATCAGGTAAAACATACTGAACCAATCACCACAGAGAGTCCTATCTCATCATCCAATCAGGTGAAACATACTGAACCAATCACCACTGAGAGTCCTATCTCATCTTCCAATCAGGTAAAACATACTGAACCAATCACCACTGAGAGTCCTATCTCATCTTCCAATCAGGTAAAACATACTGAACCAATCACCACTGAGAGTCCTATCTCATCTTCCAATCAGGTAAAACATACTGAACCAATCACCACAGAGAGTCCTATCTCATCTTCCAATCAGGTAAAACATACTGAACCAATCACCACTGAGAGTCCTATCTCATCTTCCAATCAGGTAAAACATACTGAACCAATCACCACAGAGAGTCCTATCTCATCATCCAATCAGGTGAAACATACTGAACCAATCACCACTGAGAGTCCTATCTCATCATCCAATCAGGTAAAACATACTGAACCAATCACCACTGAGAGTCCTATCTCATCTTCCAATCAGGTAAAACATACTGAACCAATCACCACTGAGAGTCCTATCTCATCTTCCAATCAGGTAAAACATACTGAACCAATCACCACAGAGAGTCCTATCTCATCTTCCAATCAGGTAAAACATACTGAACCAATCACCACAGAGAGTCCTATCTCATCTACCAATCAGGTGAAAAGTACATATAGTTTCTGAATACATAAGTACACGTATACAGCCCAATGCACCCTTACCATCAGTTTACAGTGAAATTTTTCAGATCCAGATGTTGACAAAAATTAGACCCCAATGAAAATTTGTGATTTCACAGTACTACATAATAATTAAACATGAAGTCTAAGAAAGACTTGATTCTTACTTTGACAGGCTGAAGTAACAACACCAGTGGTCAGTCCAGATGACCGGGTGTACTTTGGAGCGGTCACTATCACCATAATGGCTACCTCGGGATGTTTTCTGCTGGCATTAACTCTCTGGGCAGCTGACTATGGTAAGATAGGATAGGTCAAGATTTATCAGACAGCTTTCCTTGAAAGCATAGCATAAATTAATAGATTTGTATGTCATATTAATTTTTAAGGGAAATGAAGATTAATTTATTTTAAAAAATCTGTCTGAATCTTTATATTTTGTTAACTTACCATTGAGATGATCTGTTTATTTTTAGGTTTAATTTGTTTTATAAGCTAAGTGTTTACAGTTCTGTAAAACTTGTTCATAATTATTTCTTTTATAGTGAGGAAGGCAACCACAAAGAAATCAAAATTCAAACGAAAAGCCAGAAAATCTGAGATAGAGGAAACGCAGCATTGACTGTCCTTAAAAGTGTACAACAAAGCATGATGTACTGACAATAAAACAGATATGGTCATCAGAGTATTATTTATCTCCACATTTGTAAGCTTGACAAACTTTATCTCAAACTTTCCAACACTGAGAAAAAGTTTTCAAATCTTAATGGATTTGATACTAAGAGAGGAAGTGGTTAAGACTTCATACCCAACATAAAAGTATTCATTGTATTTTTGATTCATTGATGTTCAATAAACAAATTTTATAAAGAGATTTGATTTGTGGTGTTATGTAATGGTTGGAGTTCTTTTGATAATCTTTATCTCTTGAAGGACTACGTATAGCACAGGGGAGATAATTCAGAATTAATCAGGATATCCATTGTGAGCATTTATTACTATCAGGAAATTTAGAAATGACACAAGGGTATAAAGCCTGCAATTTTGGCAGTATACAGTAATTACTTCCAACTGTTAACTCTTACTAAGGAATATATGAAATAAAAAGATAAAAAATATTAATCATAAGAAAAGCAAGTTCATGATAAGTTGAATGCAAACATCCCAAGAGAGTTCTGATTGAATTTTGTACAAATCTTGTTCTGGGGGTTGGTATGGTATTAAGGTCTGTGTGGGTCCCCTCTGGTTATCAGATTTTTACATAATTACATGAAAATATTGGTAAGAAATTGAATACTTACTTCAAGTAAATGTGTTTGAATGCACATTGGAATAAAATGGGATTTATAAGTAGCAGGGACTATATGACAGTGAATTATACCGATTTTACATTGCATCTGTATAAGCATTTATAGAGATGATTCAAGTTCTTTTGGGTCAAGGTTGGTTAACTATTACGTACCAGTAAAACGTGTATAGGAGAAAACTTGAAAATAAAATTTCCAGTTCAGCAAAGTAATGTCAGTAACATTTATTTAGAATATCCAAGTTATTTCCCAGAAAATACCCCTGAGTAATTCCTGGGAAATACCACTATTTCCACTGCACATGTCCAGGGAATTAAGGAGGCTAGGGGGTCAACAAATTATTTTTTATTAACCACCGGATATAACTTAAATTTTGCGATATGATATCTTAAGCTGTCAACTATCATTTGCAAAAGAAAAATTTCATAAATTTTATTTTTAAATTTTGATCATTTTATTATATCTTTATATGGAGCTCTTCTAAAGGAGATCAAAATAGTCTAAAAATGGCCACGACCACCCAGCCTCTTTAAGTATTTTTTGCCAACCCTCTTGGGACCTCAAGATAAGTTGCTCCAGTGATAAGTCATATTGACCTATATGTACATTATGGATTTTCTAATTTTTATCAAATTAATATCCAGGCCACTGTTGATTTAAGCTGAAGATCATCAAACCTTGTCAGGTTAATTCAGAAAACTATTTGAGTTGGAGTGCACCAAGCAAAAAGGTTCAAGTGACCATGCATTTTGTGGCTTCTCATTTCCAAAACGGCTAAATTATATTTTGAATTATAGGAGGCTAATGGGGATACCTACCATAAAAACAGTGACGTTGACTCGTGCACATATTTAATATTAGTTTATTTATTTTTTCTTTGTCTTTTAACCTTCTTAAATATTTGTACATTACTGTAAACTAACTTTTATTCGCCACGACTTTATTTCGCGATTTATCAGGGATAAACTAGTTTGCGACGATTAATTTTCGCGATCAAACCTTTTTGGATCTGTGGTTAATAGACACATACACTTCAAGGTCCGGTTCGCGGCAAGAAATATTCGCGATGAAGAGGTTCTCGCGAACTTTGCGAAAATTTCTCACACGCGAATAAAAGTTGGTTTACAGTACCATTTGAGAGTTGATTCGTCACGCGGCACTCTAATGTTTAAATTCAAAACTAGGTCACAATGACCTACTCTTTTGACCTTTCTATTCGCGGCCTAGGACCATCAAACATGAATTTTTAGGCTATTCATTTTTAAAAAAGTTCAGCTATATATAAAAAAAAACTGATGCAATTTTTAATTATATTTTTCACTGAACGGCTAAGAATTCTCAAAGCAACAAATAGTGCATCTTAATGATTGTGTGTGTTAAGTAAGTATATCTATAAATGCTTTGATTTTCATGACACGGAGGAGTTATTTGGTGCAGTTTTAGGCTTTGGGAATTTTATCAATATCAAAAGGGGGAGATAAAAATCGAATTCAGGATAAATATTGTTTAAATGACTGTTCAGAAATCGCTTTTAAATGTTCTGCACAATTTTTGGTATGAGTCATATTGGTAAAAGTTAATATTTGTCTGCTGAGAGGATTTAATTAAATGTAGACTATTCTTCAAAACAACTAATGTAGGCTATCCCAAAACTTAATCCCTGCAAGTATAGGTGATTTAAAAATACTAATAAAGGCCAAAGGTACTAGACACGTGAATATCTTTTCACGGTCAAATCATAATACCATAAACAAATGCCAAACCAGTGGAAGAGAAGTGATTGTACGAGCAGAGCTGTCTTCATGTGATTCGGAATATTTTTACACGATTTGATTAGGTATGATCGAAAGTCAGTATTTATTATATCTTATTTAGAACGATTTATCTAATTTTTTTAAAAAATATATATATACTTTCAATATTAAATTCGCTAAATATATCGCAGTAGTTACTGCATGAATGAATATAGTATTTAAACTTTAAACATTTTTTTAATCCAAACGGATAAATAGATCGTCAAGAACGAGGTACATTTAGGCTCATCTGTGTATATGCAAATACTAAATAATTGGTTTAAAAAAGTACTACGTGCATGATTTTCACCTGTACGTGATCCTCTAGTTTAATTTCTATTTTGGACTTGAACCATCTATTTAGAACTTCCAAATTCATAAATTTAGTTCTGAAAAGTTATTTAACTTGCAACCGACTTCTTATAGGCTAGCATAATTTTCAGGAATATAGTTTTATAGATACATTATGTACACAATTCTTTTTACCATTTTTTAATTTTGATGAACGATGCTGCCATATACATTCTAAAAAATTGAAATTTCTTTGAAATTCTTTCAAAAGGCTACTCTACCAACAGTTTTAGTTCGATTGCAATAAATCTTGCCACAAACAGACCATTATTCTGGTTTTAGCCTCTGCCTTATAGTTCAAGTCCAATACAAACCAGTAGAGCTACAGTCTCGTGAGAGATTTCTGATTCAGTCGATAATTTAGCTACCCTTGAAGTACAATAGTCACTTCGTCCTTCGAACTCGGTGAATATTGTACTTTGAAGTGGCTAAGTCACTGCATTGACCTCAAAACAGTAATGATTGTTAGAGTCTCACAAGATAAAATTAACAAACAACAATTTTAAAGGTTGGCTTTAACAAATGATCTTGACTTTTTCTTTCAGATTCCTTCCAAGTGAAATACTAGTATTCGCAATGAAAACTCTTCTCTTTACACTGCAGTTTTGTGTTACTATACGTATATCGCATCTTGCCTACATTAATAATAGAAAAACATCCATAGAAGAGACAAAACAGTCTCTCCACGAGTGTCCAAATTACTGCATCTGTGATAAAATCCGTAAAGAGGCAGTCTGTACTGCGTATTACAAGGGATTTTTGTTAAAGGATATTCCTAGAGATTACACAATTATATCATTAACTTTGTTTGGAGAAATGGATGCCATTCCAAATGAAATATTAGCATCTCTTGGAGGACTTAAAAATCTAGACCTCAGTCGAAACTCTATACAAGGAATGATAATTTTTAATTTAAAAAATCCTAAATTATTGAATTTATTAGACTTAAGTTCCAATGATATAACATTCATATCCTCAACTGCATTTGATGAACTTCAAAGTCTTCAAGACCTTTCTCTCAGCGAAAACAAGATAGAAGAACTTTCCGCCACATTATTTCAAAATCTGACAAAATTAAAACGCCTTAATCTTAGTTTTAACAGGATTTCAGGACTTTCAGATGGTATATTTGATCAACTGAAAATGTTGGAAGAGTTGAATTTGAGAAATAATCAATTGCACTGGATTGCTGGAGATATTTTTCAAAACTTGATTCGTCTGAAATCCATTAACTTGAGCGACAACAAATTATGGACGATACCAAAGCAATGGCTGCCTCTCTTTGGAAAACTGGAACATGTATCACTTTTCGGAAATCGCTTGGACTGTTCTTGTGAAATTACTGGCTTTCTAGAATATTTAAAAACAAACAGAAACACGACAGCTAATAAAGAATTGTTGACGTGTTCTCATCCAAAAAGCCTTAAAGACACAAGAATTTTAAATCTCAGCAACAAGGACTTAAAATGTGACGAACCTTTGATTGGAGACATTTCTGCTTCTCGCGTGGCTATCATTGGATCCGAGATATCTCTATATTGCCATACAGAAACCCACGGGGCAGGGTACTGGGTGACATCCAAAGGCGCCAAAGTAGCATCCAAGTACCACATACAATACCTTCTGAAACTTAACATTACAGCCATTCCAGAAATAGACTACAAGTCCTCAAGATCCAGTGAATTATCTTACATCACAGTTTCTGAAAATAATACCTTGACAATTAAGAATTTTGTTAATGGTCTCCAGGGGAAGTATTTTTGTAATTTTATCAGTGAAAACGGAAATGTCACGTCCAGTGTCGTTTTGGAATCCATGACAAAATTATTCGAGATACAGTGGATGTGCGTGTTCTTTGGGGTAGTTTGCGCTGGTAGTGTGCTTCTGTTGAGTATATTTATTGGAACTATAAAGATGTGCGCGGTGCACATATGCAAATGTGATTGTGCACAACCACAGCTCAAAAAGACACATCCTAAGAGTCAATGTGACGAGGCTACCAAGCCCAATTCTCTGATTGTTTCCACAGAAAACAGCGATGACGAATATTCAGACGCGGATCCTCTTCTGAGGGATGCAAATGTAGCAGACGACAGAAACTCCTCACATGACGGTGAGACCGCCACAGCAACGTCAGGCGTCAAAACAAAGCTGGGGAAGAAAATAAAGAAAGTCCGTAGTCAAGTGATTCTCTTTCGAGAGACGGTCAAAGACACCAGTAGCCAGGCTGCCAGTAAGGTCAAGGCGGGGGTGGTGATGGGGGTGGAGCAGGTCAAGTTTGGAGTCATGTCCATGAAAGAGTTTTGTGGAGCCGGTGAGATTGCTCAGACTGTTTCCATCATGTCTGTCAACACAGATGTCGATAGTGAAAAAACGTCTACACACATCTCCAAAGTCACAACATTTTGAAAAACTATAAAATGCAGTGTTAGAGTGTGTGAGTGTTGGACAAAATTTGACATCGAACAACCCTCTCCATATATATCCTAATATAAATCTTGATATTCTTTCAAAACGTTCGAATACGAAAGAAAACGTGTTCTGTCATTTACCTGTGTTCATTTTTAGTCCATATTCTGCATGTTTTGTTTAACGTTTGGGAATACTAGTAAACTCGTATTTTTTATGAATTACTTTACTCATTTTGAATGCATCAATACGCAGGTCATATTAAGCAACATTGAAAGTATGGAAAGGAGGCACAAACCAGAGGAAAAGAAAAGTAAACAAGAGGCTAACGGGCTTAAAATTGCTCTTCTGATAAGTTATACAATCAGTATCACTTCTATTCTAAGCCTCTTCGTATCCCACATGTATGTAGATAATACCTTGAAATTTCAAAAGTAGGTTATGACCTTTTTAATTCAGGTGATCTATTACCATCTTTTTCGTTTATCGACATGCATCGTGCGTTGACAATTGAACATTTTTAGCTTCTCTGAAACCACACAACACATATTTTTAACCAATTTTGGTATATTTAATACTCTATGGGTGCAGGGAAACAAAAAAATTGTGAATTTCTTGCCCCCCCCCTCCAGTGACCTGGGGGATGTAATACAGCTTGTATGTACAAAGTTATGATGAAGAAGGGTACCTCTTCCTAACGTGAATTTCAAGGCCTAAGGACGAGGGGTTCTGCTCTTAAGGCGGGATTCTAATGATTTGATAGTGAAAATGTATTAATACTTTGAAAATCTTCTCTTCTGCTCCTGGGTATTAAATAAACAAAGTTTATAGTTTTGATGAACAAGAATGCCTCTTCCAAAATTGTGAAGTCCATGGCCCTACTGGTCAGGGTGAGGGTTGTTAGGGCATGGTGCTATTAAATATACCAGTAGTGAAAGTGGAATCAATACCAAGAGGCAGAGGAGATTTTCAAACATTAAAGCCCTACCCTAATACCAAAACCCCTGACCCTAGTGCCATGAATTAATATCATTTGGAAGAGGTAATCGTAATTATGTTAGTTTGTTTAATACTCAGGAGCAGAAAAAAAATTTTTCAAAGAATTAAAGTATTTTCACTGACATTTATTAAATAAATAGAATAAGGCTCCTTTAACTCTTATTTTATTCCCTTTTTTTCCATGGCCTGTATGATCTGCTTGATGCATATTACTGTACATGTATAAGAATAATTACAGTACTAAACATTCAATGAAAATAACTTGATGATAAACAGAGACAACATCTTGATGGATTCCGACTACATGTATAATGCCAAACAGGAATAAATTAAAGTATAATGGCACAATAATATTGAAATTTATCACAGAAAATAACTTCACAAATGGTAATTTCTCTAATTTCAAAAATATACCTGTATGAACAGAAAGTTAAAGAATTAAAGTGCATGCTTTTTAACAACAAATGTAAAAAGAATATATTTCTTAATCATAATTAAAAATATAATTGAAAATCTTTGTATTCATCCTGCAGATTCATGGATTAAAAATACACTAGTATAAACATTTTATTATATACATAAAATGGATATAATGCACATACGTGTGCATGTAACAATTACCATCAAAACGTTATTCATAATTTATCAATAAAAATTAAATTTAAACCCTTTTAAGAAAGTATGTACCAATTTTATGTGAAAAATTAAAAAAAATAAATCAATCCACTGTTTTATTTCTCAAACATTACATGGAATTTGTATACTAATATAACTCAGTTATACTCAGTTGATGTTGCAATTAGAAAAGGGATATATACATGTATCTCTCAATCCTACCATCTCCCAAAAGAAAGAAAAACATTATTTTACACATCAATTAAAAAATATACATTCTTTGCTTAAAACAAACTCATCTCAAGAAATAAAAGATATACATATATGTAATAAAATATGTTCAATCAATCACATCAACTACAAAACTGGAAAAAAAATGTGTTTGATTAATTTGAAAAGTAAAATCCTAGCATGTACGTTACTATTTTAAATCTATTAAGTTAAAACAAACATACACTTAAGACTTAAAAATTCTGATAAAAATGACTAACCAGATTTCCCCATAAGTTTTAATGTGTAAAATATTATAAGCAATAAAATAGCTGATAAAATGTTATATAATATATAGAAATGAAAATTCAACACAAAAATGACTAGAATACTTAAAAGCTGTATTACACCACAGAATATACTTTTAAAAAAATGAAAAATGAAAAAAAGTTATATTTTCAGAAAAATAATCTAATGAAGAAAAACAGTTCTATAGAATCTGATGGACTATTATACTACATGTACAATTTGACATCATGGTCTATAATATGCATCCCATATAACAACTGGTAAATATTCAGGCTGCGTAGTCTAGAAATAGAGTTCTCTAATGTAAGTTATCGTATTCAGGATGATGTAAATAACTAAATATCACAAATAGTAACTGCAATGTTAATCTCTTTCTTACGTGTATATACAAATGCCCAGTATATCGGACAGGAAGACAAAAACAAATGTACATTCTTTAGACACCTTTCAATACTGTCATACAGTATATTATGTACTTTGTGTGGTTCTTAAAAGCTAGCTGATGCATAAAACAATTGGTCATACCAAAAGTGTAGATAGACCAAGTTATGATCACATTAAGTGTGCCAAGGTCAGTCTGTAAATAGGTCAAGGTCAGTTGAACAATTCCTCAGTGTCCTCATTCCTGTTAGAGACAGAGGCCCCTGTGAACCATGAATACTTGATTTTCCTCTTGGAGTACAGGTCTCTCACTTCACTCACAAACAAAGGCAGAATACACAGGGCAGTCAGAAGTGTCTGCATTAAAAAAAGAGAAAGTGAAAAATTAATGAATCAGGAGTCTTGGCCAAGTCTGTTGCTCTCCTTGTTAACAGTTTTTTGTTATAATTGGAATAAATGTTGCACATACGCTTTAAATAAATTTCTTTAACATTTACAGAGACATGTATCTTTTTGTTTTCTAAATTTGTACCATCCAAGTTTAACTGAAATCAAATCAAAACTGGAGGGTGAGTAGTTGGATATGTGAGAGAGAAATTAAGAAATCATTCTATCTTTAATTAATACCCATTGAAATTTGTTCACCAGAATAAAAATTCAACAAATAGAATACAAATATAATGAAGTATCTTGATGTAATCAGTAAATCTACACATACATGTGCTCTTGACATGTATTAGGTTAACAATTGAGCTTCTCTTTCTTGGATCATTTTTCAAAAGTCACCTGGTATTACAATTGCTACAATTCAAGGAGACACACAATTATTTTTCAGCACAGTATCGATCACTTACCATCAACATAAACAGATAAAACACTGATCTCCATCCCAAACCATCCTGTATCAGAGGTACCAGAATCTGAAATGACAAAAACCATGATGAGAAAGAGGAATTATTTTGGACATAGCCATCTTTAAGAAGAACTTCTTTACCTGCCCTCTCCAGACTGACTGACTAAATCTGCCTCTATTACAAAAGTTGTAATACATCAAGGAAACATTTATGACAAATATACAAAAAATCAATTTCAGAAAGAACTAAGAAATGTCACATCAACTTTTCACTGTTGCATAACACCTAATTCTAACCTGTCCAATGGCAGCCCCGACACTTCCTGTTCCATCAATTATACCCGTCACTGTAGCTAAGGCCTCGCTGTTTCCCTGAACTGGTCCCTGCTTTCCTGTTTAACAAAATATTGAAAAGGTGAGTTTATTCAAGTAAAACATTGAAAAGGTGTGTTTATTCATGTCCTTTTTCATGAGAAAACTGAAAAGTACACTTGTACAACTAAGATGAATAAAACAATATAAATACATATGTACTAAAGACAGCAATAAAACTGGCTTTTGAATTTTTTATTTATACATGTATAGTGAATGGAAATAATTTCTGCAAGTATCTATAGAGATCTGTTTCACCTAAGTATTCTCATGATTCAGATATTATAGAATAACTATGTAATTTAACAATAACATCGTCTAATAATTAAATCTTTATTTTTGCAAATACAGTGGAGCCTCATTTATCCGGACGCTTTGGTTCCTAGTCAATTTGTCCGGATATGTGAAGTGTCTGGATACCTGAATCAGCAGCTAAACAAAACAATATAACATTTAAAAATTCCGTGCCAACGAAAAAGCGTCCGGATACTGAAGCATCCGGATATCTGGGGTCCGGATATCTGAAGGTCCACTGTACTGTAAATCACATTTTATTCGCGAGAACTTTATTTTCGCGTAATTACGCGAGACAATGAGCTCATGAAAATTTCATTCTCGCGTTTAAAAGTATTCCCTACAATTATATAGAGAAAAAAACAATAATTCGTGAAAATTATGTCTCGCTAATAAAGAGTCAATGACTATCTCGCGAAAATAACGTGTCGCGAAAATTTAGTGTTCTACAGTACTTAACTGTCTATACTCTAGTTAAGATCTTTGAAAGTTTTAATTTACATAGAGAACTGTTTAAATTGGATGCAATGAAATTCAATAACTATGCCTTTTTGACAATTCTCAAAGGTTTTCTTTATGTACAGCTATTAAACTCACCAAGATCTGCAGAGATTGCCGCACTGACTAGGTTAGCCACGCCCCCAATAAAAAATCCCACTACCGCCATCAACAGACCGTTCATGGTCAAGGTATTGCTTAAATCGGAATCTGTTGTAAAGGGGAAATACAAAAATATACATTTAATCTAGTAAAAAATTTTGTAGTACTGAAGGATTTGAAACAATCTTCCCTTGATAAGTAGGTTGCGTAAATCAGAATGATGACCTAGGTTTAGCAGTGAAAATAAATTTGTTGTTTCATAATTCCATACTTAAATACTGCTTGTTGTCTATACAAAAACAGAATTCCATAACTTTGACCTTCTTATTACACTTGATTTCAATGTTTTATGTCAGACAAGATGGAA